AGTACCTGGCACAGGAGGAGGACGCGGACGAGGAACACGATGGCCAGTGCGAACAGCGCGAACAGGCGAGGCAGGACGAGACGCAGGCTCACGACGCTCTGTAAGCGAGTCTGTCTGCTCAGGGTAAGGAGAAGGAGCAGGTAGTTGGGAGCCTGGCTGTAATAGGAGGTCAGTAGAAGACGGGAGGCTAAGAACCTGGCGAAGCATGGATTCAAGCGGTGGCAGGGACGACGGTGACGGAGGAGCGAAGAACAGTCGCCGCTGTGCAGTACCACCAGCACCAGCTCCTCCAGCACCAGCACCTCCAGTACCAGTACCAGCAGCTTCAGAACCCCCAGCTCCAGCGCCTCCAGCTCCAGCACCTCCAGCTCCAGAGTCTTCAGCACCACCAGCTCCGGCAGCTCCAGCACCCCCAGTACGAGCACCTCTGGGACCAGCAGTGCCAGCACCACCAGCACCACCAGCTCCGGCAGCTCCAGTACCTCCAGTACGAGCACCTCTTGGACTAGCAGCTCCAGCTCTTGTACCTCCACCTCCAGCGACTCCAGCTCCAATGCCTCCAGCTCCAGTGCCTCCAGCTGTCGGGTCACCAGCTCCAGCTCCTCCAGCGCAAGTGCCCCCAGCGGCAGGGCCTCCAGCTCCAGCAGCGCCACTCTAAAGACGGGTGCGTCGAGCAAACCACTCGCGCAGCTGCTGTGGTGAGAGAGGCTCTCGCCGACTAGACTGCGGTGGCGAGTCACCTGTAGGACCGCTAGGACCAGTAGCTCCAGTACCCCCAGTACCTCCAGCTCCAACGCCTCCAGCTCCAGCGCCTCCAGTGTCAGCACCTCCAGCGGCAGAGCCTCGAGCTCCAGCAGCGCCACTCCGAAGGCGGGTGCGCCGAGCGTACCACTCGCGCAGCTGCTGTGGTGAGAGAGGCTCCCGCCGGCTAGACTGCTATGGCGAGGCACTGGTAGGACCTCCAGGACGGGTAGCTCTAGCACCCCTAGTGCCTCCACTACCAGCAGTACCTCCAGTACCAGCAATACCTCCAGCACCTCCAGGACTAGCAGCGGCAGAGCCTCCTGCTCCAGCACCGCCACTCCGAAGGCGGGTGCGCCGAGCGTACCACTCGCGCAGCTGCTGTGGTGAGAGAGGCTCCCGCCGGCTAGATAACTGTGTAGAGGCACTGGTAGGACCGCCAAGATAGGTAGCTCTAGCACCCCAAATACCTCCAGTACGAGCGGTACCTCCAGCACCTCCAGGACTAGCAGCTCCAGGGCCTCCAGCTCCAACAACACCACTCCGAAGGCGGGTGCGCCGAGCGTACCACTCGCGCAGCTGCTGTGGTGAGAGAGGCTCCCGTAGTATAGACGCAATACCCCTAGGCTCAGCACCCCCAGACTCAGCACCCCTAGGCTCCGCACCCGCAGGCTCAGCACCCCCAGGCTCCGCACCCGCAGGCTCAGCACCCCCAGGCTCCGCAACCCCAGGCTCAGCACCCCCAGGCTCCGCACGCTCAGGCTCAGCACCCCCAGGCTCCGCACGTCCAGGCTCTGCACCCCCATACGCAATACCCCGAGCAGCACCACCCCCAGCAGCACCAGAGTCAACAGTGACCTCGACAGGCTCAGCCAAGGGAAGTGGGTCTACCTGAGAGACACCTGAAGGAGCAGGACCCTGAGGGGGGGGGTCCTATCGGAGGGGGACCTGGAGCGAGGAAGAGCGGCGGGGGGGGGAGAGGGGCAGTGCGGTAGGGGAAGAGACGGTAAAAGGGAACCGACTCGTCAAACGTGACGTCCTGAGAGGACAGAACACGACGCGGGGTGGGATGGTAAAATTGCCAGCCAGGTGCGTTAGTGGGAAAGCCAAGGAAGACGCAGGGAATGGCACGAGCGGAGAGCTTGTCCGCGGTGGTATCACGGACAAAGGCACGAGAGCCCCAGACCCGGAACCGCGACGCATCGCCAACCTTCCCCGTCCAACGCAGTGTAGGCGAGGTCTCTGGCAAGGAGACACGGGGTCAGAGGTTGAGCTGATGCGCAGCGTACCGGACCGCAAACGGCCACAGAAAATGGGGAGCAGCCGCATGGATCATGGAGGTACGAGCGACCTCCATGACTAAGCCAATGCGGTGCTCAGCAATCCCATTCTGCTGCGGGGAGGCCGGAAGCGTGAATGAGCGACTAGAGGATGCCCTCCGCACGACAAAAGTTCCGCAAGAGGTCGGAGGGGAATTCACCACCTCTGTCAGAGTGCAGACGCAGGATGTGAAGGTCCGTGCGGAACCGCTCGCGGAGCTGGAGACGAACAGCGCGGATCTAGGGGATCAAGACATTCGGGGCCTCACCCTTGCTGCGCAAGGGGAAGACTGTGGTGTAACGCGAGTAGTCGTCAACAACCAGCAGAAAGTACCGCTCGCGGCCCTGTCCAGTGACGCGGGCTGGGCCCCACACGTCCATATGAAGAGTATGCAGAGGAGCAATCGTCGGGGGAAACGAGGAGGAGTGAGAAGCGGCGCGCTGCCGCCCCTCGACGCAAAGAATGCAGGGCGGGGCAGGCGAGGGTGGGAGGGGAGGCAGAGACCTGGGAAGACCAGAGACAAGAAGGCGGGACCGCATGCCACGGAGGCGTGGCAGGGAGGGGTGACCAAGACGGTGGTGCCAGAGGAGAGTCTGGTGCGACAGGAGGCGACACGAGCAAGAGGCTGCTACCTGACCTCACGCGGACACCTGAGCAGACCCAGTAACTTGAGGAGGTGCAGTAGTCAGTGTGTACAGATTCAACCCAGGCTGACGGGTGAACGTGGCCAGGTGACGGCCAGTCTGAGAGCACATGCAGATCGCCACACGCTGTCCTCCAGGGGTAAAGGTATCAACCCCTGCATCCTGAAGGACCGCGTTACTCACCAAGTTCGTCGAGAACGAGGGGAGGTGGAGACCTGACAGTGAGCCGGACGGAACCGCCAGACACGGGAGAACAGTGGAGGAACGTGCAAGAACTGGGCCCCTAGAGGGGTCAGCCAGTGAGACTGCAACGGGTCTAGGGAGTGGTGTGACTATGGTACTGTCGCGAAAGAAGCAGCAAGAAGCACCTGAGTCAAGCGTGAAAGTGTGCAAGGCCTCAGCAGGTGCAGCACCAGATGGAGCAGACTCACTAGCACCTAGAGCAGCAGCCTCTATACCAGGGTCGGGCGGTACATACAGGCAACAGTCACCCTCAGTACCAGCAGTCAAAGCATACATGGCAGTAAGGATAGCGTCATAGTCTAAGGCAAATATGTATTTTTTGTCTCGAAGCAGCTCGAGCCAGCGGGGGAGCTCAGCCTCGTCGCCAAACTCTGCGCACCAGGAGTCGCCCAGACAGGCGAAGCAGCGGAACTGTGTGTGGCCAGGTGTCCCGCAAGTCTGACCTACCCGAGCACTTGTGTGAATGGCGTACGGGCAGCGAGCAGTACTTTAAGACGCCCCACGCTGAGCGTACCACTCACAGAGCTGCTGGGACGTAAGGGTCATGCGCGGAAGCTGCCGCAGCTGCATCTGGCCACCGCCAGAAACTCCCCACTGAACAGTGCCACCACGACTGCCACTACGGCCGCCGCCACCACTCCCACTGTTGCCACCACCGTCGCCACCACTCCCACCGCTACCACAAAGAGATGTCATTGCGGGCAAAGCACGTAGGGAAGGGAGGGCGGTGAGCAGGCACTAGGGTTAGCGTGTAGGGTAGGGCGGGGCGGTGCACGGTCAGGGAAGGGCGGCGCACGGCTAGATCAGGGCGGCGCGCTGTAATTAGGACGGCGCATTGGTTGGGGAGGGCGCGTGGGCAGGCAAGGGGCAGCGCGCGGGCCGTAAAGGGCGAGGCACAGGGGTGCTAGGGTGAGGCGCGAGCTGCATGGCAGCGCGCGGCTAGCAGGGCGGCGCGCGGGTCGCGCAACGGGCAGGGCAGGGCAGGGCGTACGCGTGGCGCATAGGCAAAGCAGGGTGCACACGGGTCGCGCGACGGGCAGGGCAGGGCATACGCGCGGCGCATGGGCAGGGCAGGGCGTGCACGGGTCGCGCGACGGGCAGGGCAGGGCGTACGCGCGGCGCGCGGGCAGGGCAGGGCGTGCGCGGGTCGCTCGACGGGCAGGGCTGGGCGTACACGCGGCGCGCGGGCAGGGCAGGGCGTGCGCGGGGCGCGTGACGGGCAGGGCAAGGCGTACGCACGGCGCGTGGGCAGGGCAGGGCATGCGGGGGTCGCACGGCGGGCATGGCAGGGCGTACGCGCGGCGCGTGGGCAGGGCAGGGCGTGCGCGGGCAGCGCGACGCAGGGCAGGGCGTGCGCGGGGCGGTCGCACGGCGGGCAGGGCAGGGCAGGGCGTATGCACGGCGCGCGGGAAGGAATGATCGGGTGGGCCCTAACAAAGGCGGTCCTGGAACAGGACCTGCTCTGATACCACGCCAGAATCTAGCAGCAGGAATGGTGCATTGATCAGAATTGTGAGTACAAGTGCTAACCCTAAGTTGGGTTGCACTCCTTATGAGCTACCCCACTACAGCCTGCACACAACAAGCATCATTATAGTTTCAGAACCAGAGGACCTGAGAATCGTTGCTCATCATCGTCGAGAGTCAAAACGGTTCTTCCTTAATTACCAAGAAATCATACATAAGCTGACAAAACTGAAGCTGGTCAACACAGCTAAAGGGATCAAATGAATGAATCACGTATGGTACAGAAGTGCCTCAGCAGAGAGATCAGCACTTGTGCAGGTGAGATGGGAAGACTGCAGCCGTGCCATTCGGCCCCGTGTGTGCAGCATAACATGGCAGCAGGGGGCGGTGAGATCAGCACTTGTGCCCCATTCGGCCCCGTGTGTGCAGCATAACATGGCAGCAGGGGGCGGTGAGATCAGCACTTGTGCCCCATTCGGCCCCGTGTGTGCAGCATAACATGGCAGCAGGGGGCGGTGAGGTCAGCACTTGTGCCCCATTCGGCCCCGTGTGTGCAGCATAACATGGCAGCAGGGGGCGGTGAGATCAGATGGCGCAGGCAACGGCCTTGACGAGGGCCACGTTGCCCGATGTGGTGCTGCATGCACACAGCAACGAGGGGGGCACGGCACACCAGTGAGTGGCAAGCGTTGAGAGAGAGGGAGGGCAATGGAGAACCACACGAAAAGGACAGGATAGCTGCTGCTAGAAAGAATGACACAGCGGGGGGCAAGGGGCAGGGGGCAGGGCATGGGGTGGGGGGGGCGGGGCACTGACGCGAAGTTGGTGACATCGCCGGCGGGGCGGTAATAGCCGGTGGCGGAGCCGTAGCAGGAGGCGCTGGTCCAGAACCACAGCAGCCCGCACGACTGCTTGGGTGCCCCCGTGCTGTCGGGCACGTTCCACAGCACGCGCAGCGACGCCGCGGCGATGCCGCCGGGGATGTCGACGCAGCTGCCGCGCGACGAGTTGGCGGGCAGCCCCGTGCGCACGAGCGTGGGGCCCAGCGCGGGGGCAGTGGAGGTGTAGGAGGCGTTGTTGTAGATGGCCAGGCTCGTGGCCGCCACGGCTGTGGGTGTGCCCTGCACACACACGTTGCTGCTCATGTACCACCCCGTGGGGCACTGGCAGAACGGGTACCCACTCCCGTCCACCGCACATGTCGCCTGCGCCGGACACACCGCTCCCACACACGCCGGCGCTGCAAGCAATAGGGAGGGCATGACAAAGGGGCGAGGGAGGGAAGGTGTGAGAGGTGTGGTGTGAGGAAGGAGGGCCGTGGGGCAAAGGATCAGAAGGTAAGAGAGACGAAGGAAGCGGAGTGGGCAGGCAGGGGAGAGGGGAGTGAAGAGGGCCACTGAGGGACACAAGGGAGAGGGAGGAGGAGCACTCACGGACACAGGTGTCTGCACTGATGGGCACGAGGCCGGTGGGGCAGGCGCACTGGGCGGAGCCGGAGGAGCCGTCACACACGAGGTTGCCGGGGCACGTGGTACTGCCACTGCTGCAGGGGTCGGGCTGGCACGTGGCGTTGTTCACCAGCACCTGCCCCGCCCCACACACACACACCGCCTGCCCGTACCGCACCGTGCACGTCGCTGTGGACGGACATGCCACCCGGTAGCACGGGTCTTGCACTGCCGAAAGGGAAGCAGAGAGATGGGGAAGAGTTGAAGGGAGAGGTGGAGCAGGATGGAAGCAGAGTTAGATCAAGGGTGCAGATGGGCGCGAGTGAAGGAATAGGTGGGTGGTGGGAAGAGAAGGTGAGGAGGCAGACAGGGGCGTGGAGCACTCACCATAGGGCAGCTGCCCGCCATAGTTGCCGGGCGGGTAGTAGTGGCACGCCCACACATCTGCACTCGTGCCACACGATGCCTTGGCACAGCCCACGGTGCGCGTGTTGTTCCAAATGACCTGTGGGGAGACGAGGCAGGGAGCACATGGGCAATGAGGCACAGCGCATGGTGCACCACACACCGTGCCTCTGCAAGCAGCTCGCCTCACCAGCACCGTCTCTCGCTCTCGCCCTCCCTCGAATCCTCTTCCCCATGGTGCTGACCTGCGTGTAGTGACCACAGTCAGCCCAGTTGCCGGTGCTGCAGCCCCCCGAGAAGACGGCGTACGAGTAGAGGTCGCCCTCGCCCACCCACCAGCTCACGGCCGCCGCATCTGAGGCCCACCCCGAGGGGCTGGCGCCCGACAGGTTCTGCCCCTCGCCGCTGTTGCCGCCGTGTGACAGCCCGCAGTTGTACGTGCTGTTGGTCAGCGCTGTTGCCCACGCCTGCGCCCTCGTTGCCACTGGGAGATGCAAAGGGGGGGTGGTGGGATGGGGGGAGCGGTAGGGAAGGGGTGGGCGGGGGAAATGAGGAAGAGAGAAGAATGAGGAACGCAGGGGTTGGAGAAAGGAGTGAGAAAGGAGGGGCGCATGCAGTCCGTGGCGAGGGGGCATGACAAGACGAGAGCCTAGAGCACAGCACGTTGGTTGAGAGGCAGGCGCTCAAGGAAGGAATGGCGACATGGGCACTCACGAGTGGCGTTCCACACGAGGGGAATGGCGCCCACCGCCGCCCTGGCGGCGTTGTGATTGTCGAGATAGTTGGAAAAGGGCAGCGTGGCTGTGAGCAGGTGACGCACGGAGGGAAGGAGGCACGGAGGGAGTTGCGTGAGGGAGGGAGGGCGTCGGGCAGAGGGGAGCGAGGGGCAAGGGGAGAGAGCAACCAAGGGATGGACGAATGCAGTCGCACACAGCAGGCAGGAGGGCAGCAGGGGGACAGGAGGGGAGGAGGGCAGGGGGCAGGGGGGGCAGCACGGACCGTTGGTGCACTTGTTGTCGATGAGGCGCGTGTAGGGCGGAGGGCACGTGCACACGGGCGCGCCAAGCAGGAAGGTGCACCTAGAGACGTCGGGACACTTCACCCCGTAGCACAGGTCTGTGCGCACGAGTCGTGGGGGGAGAGGGGGAAGAGGGGGGGGGAAGAAGGTGGAGGGAGCAGTGAGCAAGGGAGGCGGCATGAGGGCATGGGGCGGGGAGAGGAGAAGGCGAGGGGAAAGCAGAGGAGCAGCCAGGCAGAGGGCGGAGGACGTAGGGCGGAGGACGGGGGGAGAGGGGAAATGAGGGGCAGCACTGACCCTTGGGGCATGAGGGGAAATGAGGGGCAGCACTGACCCTTGGGGCATGAGGGGAAATGAGGGGCAGCACTGACCCTTGGGGCATGAGGGGACATGAGGGGCAGCACTGACCCTTGAGGCATGAGGGGACATGAGGGGCAGCACTGACCCTTGGGGCATGAGGGGACATGAGGGGCAGCACTGACCCTTGGGGCATGAGGGGACATGAGGGGCAGCACTGACCCTTGGGGCATGAGGGGACATGAGGGGCAGCACTGACCCTTGGGGCATGAGGGGACATGAGGGGCGGCACTAACCCTTGGGGCAGTTGCACTTGGCGACGCCATTGGCGGAGGAGCACGTGCAGTTGGCCGGGCATGTCACCAACGAGCACGGCGCGGCCGCTGGTTGGTGGGAGGGGAAGGGGGGGGGGGGGAACAAGGGAAAGGAAGGAAGAGGGCAGGGGGTTGACGAGTGGAGGATGGGAGGGGAGCTGTGCGGTGTGGTGTAGGTGGCAGTGAAATGGTGCGTTGGCGAGTGAGGCAGTGGCGGGTGGGAGAGGGCGAAGCAGCAGGCGAGGAGCAGAGGGGGAGAGGCAGGGGAAGGAGACGACAAGAGGGACGGGTGGGTGAGGACGGGAGCGCGGGAGGGCCGAGAGGGCTGAGAGGGGCAACAAGGGCAACAAGGGGAAAGGGGAAGGGCGGGAGAGCGTACGCTGGCAGGCGCCGCTGACCATGGTGTAGCCCACGGCGCACACACACGTGGCCACGCCATTCACGCTGCTGCACGTGGCCTTGGCGGGACACGTGGTGGTTGTGCAGGGGTCGGTGATTGCTGCATGCACCAGCAGGGGCCAGGAGGGGGGCGAAACGAGGAGTTGGTTGGAAGGAATGGGTGAGGGAAGAAGTGTCTAGACGCATGTGCGAGCATGCACGTATGCGCAATACAGAGTGCAGTGCAGGCATGGGCGTGGGAGCGACGAGGAGAGTTGACTCACCGACGCACTGGCCAGCAGTCATCTGGTAGCCCGCGGAGCACGTGCACGTGGCGACGCCATTGACGTTGGAGCATGCTGAGTTGGCGGGGCATGAGAATCCCGCGCATGGGTCGGGGGCTGCTACGAGGGGCAGCAGCGGGAGACAAGGTGGCGGCAAGCACAGAGGCGGAGGTGAGAGAAGGGGGGAGCGGAACAGCAGGGGTACGGAGCGGAAAACAGCCAAGGCAAGAGCAAGAAAGCAGCAGGTGCAGCGAGGGGGGAAGGAGGGCAGGGGAAAGGTGACTCACCTATGCAGGCGCCGTTGACCGGGTCAAAGCCGGGCAGGCATGTGCAGGTGGCGGCGCCGTTGACGACGGTGCAGTTGGCGTTGGCCTGACACGTGGTGCTCGCGCATTGGTCCTGTGGGGGCAGCGCTGCTCACACCGCCATGCCGGGGACAGGGTGGGGGGGGGGAGGGGAAGGGAAGAGGATGAGGCAGTGGGGGAAGGTGCAGCGAACGCGAGAGAGAATGCTGACAGGAAAGGGAGGGGAGAAGGATGGGGAGGGAAGAAACAGCCGCAGCAGGAGATAAGGCAGGGGGCAGGGGGGCATACCGGCGCACTCGCCGTTGACCATCTGGAAGCCCGCAGTGCACGTGCACGTGGCCACGCCGTTGACGTTGCTGCACACCGAGTTGAGCGGACAGTTGGCCGTCGCACAGGGGTCCGGCACTGCGTGGCGATACAGGGGGCGGGGGAGCGAGAGAGCGGAGAAGAGGAGAGGGGGGAGTGGGCAGGGAGGAGCAGCGGCAGGGGCAGGCGGGAGACAGACAACAGACGGGTCGGTGTAAGATGGAAGGCGGAGGGCGAGAGGGAGAGGGAGAGCGGAGAAGACGGTGATGGAATCGGGACAGGTGTACCCCGTGCACGGGTCGGGCACTGGCGTTTGAGAGAGGGGAAATACGAAGCAAACAAGTACAGGGCGAATAAGCGGAGAATGGGGGAAGGCGGGGCGAATGGTCGAGAGAGGAAGTAAACAGGAGAGATTGAGGGTGTGCGGGTGTGAGATGAGAGAAGGGCAGGAGGAGGGAGCAGGAGATGCAGAGATTTACAAAGTGAGAGTGAGGAGAGTTTGACTCACCCACACACTGCCCGTTGACCATCTGGTAACCAGTATTGCACGTGCACGTGGCGACGCCATTAACGTTGGAGCATGCTGCATTGGCGGGACAGGTGTACCCCGTGCACGGGTTGGGCACTGGTGTGGGGGGGGGGAGAGAGTGCAAGGGCACAGGCAAGAAAGCGCATTGGCGAGAGGCAGGATAGAAATGGAAGGTGAAATAGGGAGAGCAAAAGGAGAGGTGGAATCCGATGGAGCGAGAGAGAGTGAGGGGTGGCATCTCACCAACGCACTGGCCGTTGACCATCTGGTAACCAGTACTGCACGTGCACGTGGCGACGCCATTGACGTTGGAGCATGTTGAGTTGGCGGGACAGGTGTACCCCGTGCACGGGTTGGGCACTGGTGTTTGGGGGAAGAGAGAGCGAAGGAATATAAAATTGAATTGGCCAGAGACCTTTAAAATTGGAGGTGATTAGGAGGACGGGACAGGATGCTGGGAGGGAGTGGAGAGGAGAACAGGTGGAGAGATTCAAGAAGATATAGATGGGAAGGTTAGACTGGAGGGTTGGTGGGGAGAAAGAGAGGTAGGCTAATGAAATGGATTGAACGGAGGCGACTCACCGACGCACTGGCCGTTGACCATCTGGTAACCAGAGTTGCACGTGCATGTGGCAACACCGTTGACATTTGAGCATGCTGAGTTGGCGGGACAGGTGTACCCCGTGCACGGGTTGGGCACTGGTGTTTGGGTGAAAGGATAGCAAGGGGACAAGCAGACACTCGGATGTGAAGGGGGGAGGAATCGGTGGAAAGAGACATGGTGGGGGGAGGGAGTGGAGTGGAGAGGGAGTGAAAGGTGGAGAGAGTGGAAAAGAGATGGACGCAAAGTAGGAGAGAGGAGGGGAGGGTGGGAGAGCAGGGTGGAGATTGATAGGGGAGATTGAATGGGGTTGACTCACCAACGCACTGGCCGTTGACCATCTGGTAGCCAGTATTGCACGTGCACGTGGCAACACCATTGACGTTGGAGCATGCTGAGTTGGCAGGACAGGTGTACCCCGTGCATGGGTTGGACGTTGTTGCTGGCAGAAGGGGGAGAAAGGGGAGCAGGGGAAGTAGGGGCAGAAGGGGTAGATAGAAACGAGTGAGGACGCGAGTTGCATGGCGCTCACGCTGCATTGCGCAGCACTGCGGACCACAAAGCTGACTCACCAACGCATTGCCCGCCAACCATGCTGTATCCAGCGTTGCACGTGCACACGGCGGCACCGTTGACGACGGAGCACGAGGCGTTGGCCTGGCAGGTCTTGGTGGCGCAGGGGTACGTGTTGGTGGCGATGGCGGCCTGGCACGAGATGGACCTGCCCGTCGCGATTATTCCGCTCGCCGACCTGCACGCGGTCAACGCGGCCTATGTCAGTCAACGCGGTCAGCGTTAGTCAACGCAGTCAACTCAGTAAGAGTGAGTCAACGCGGTCAACGGCAAGGATGGAAGCGGACTAGGAGTGTCAACGGTGGAAAGAAAAACCGGCGCATGAGGAGCGGCGAGCATGCAAGGGCGCGCGGGCGTGCGGCGTGGCATGGAGGGGCGGGGCGGGGCTCACTTGATGCTGGTGGTGGAGTAGGTGTAGGTGTTGGGGTTGACGGCGGTCCAGCCGCCGGGGATCTGGTAACCCGAGCCGGAGCAGCAGCAGTTGGGTTTGTCCCAGAAGAAGAGCTTGCCGCACACCAGGTGGTCCGCCACGCCGTCGTTCACGTTCCACATGATGCGAAACGAGCCCACCGTCCCGTTGAACGCCGCTGGCAGGTTCACGCACGCGCTCGTGTTCGGCGCCGCGCCGCGCAGCACAGCGGGCGCGAGTGTTTTGGGGGAGTTGGTGTACGAGGCGCGGTTGTACAGCACGACGTTGGTGCCGACGGTGGCCCAGCTGGCGGCCGGCGCGCACACGCCGTTGATGATGGCCTGCCCCGCCGCGCACTTGCAGAACGGGTAGCCGCTGCCGTCCACCACGCAAGTCGCGCCCGCCGGACACACCACGCCCGCAGGGCACGACGCTAAAAGGAGGAAAGGGGATGGGGCACGGGCGCGGGGGGCGGAGCGAAGCTTGAAATAAGAGTGGCGCGACGGGAACGACACAATCTAGGGCCTTCATGGCATCCTTCATGGCCCTTCATTTCCCTGGGGACCCCGAGATACTTCACGTTCGAGCTGTCAACACAGTCCGTTGACGGCGTCCCTGGAAACTGCAACGGTGATGCCGCGTGAGGGACGGGCGCACTGACCTTGTAGCTCACGATGGCTGCTGCTACTCGCGGCGCCGTCCAATTCGGTGGGCGTCGAGATGCGCGCTGCGGCGAGGCGATACGAAGATAGTAGACATGCGTGCAGCAACAGTAGAGAAACGACGGCCCTCATTTTCTCAAGCAGTCAATTGCAATGCGATGGTGGTGCGATGTTGGATTCAGGGAAAAGGAGTGGGAGTGATAGAGGTGCAGGGAGGTTATGTGCAATAGAGGTCAGGTTCTGTAACCCTCTGCTATCACTTGCATTGGGGAGAGCGGGCTCAAGAATGGGCTGATGAGATGACACACAGGCATACAGGCGACCCACGGTATTGGGAGGTGGTGTTGCTCGATTCTAATTTCGATTAATCACCTTGACATGGTCTTCACATATACCGGCAATTCTCGACAGGGTGATTCCACAAGGGACTGTAGTTTGTCGTCTCCCCCTAATTCCACCATGCCGTTACCCAACATTTTCTGGTCGCATGAGGGCCGAGTGAGGGACTGTAGTTTGTCGTCTCCTCCTAAATCCACCATGCCGTTACCCAACCTTTTCTGGTCGCATGAGGGCCGAGTGAGGGAGGGCTTTCCTTGCCACCGACACACTGTACGTACACAGCGCGTTCCGTTCATCATATGTAACTGGCGGTTCTGTTCTGAACAAACGCCGCCATAACTGGTGGTCGCAGGGGTATGCGTGACGTGGTCGTGTGGATTTGCGGTTTGGGACAGCACTTGCCCTCTCGATTTCGATTGTGGTTGTTGGCATGGGCTTTGGTTGGTACAGCAGTGTTCAGTGTTTCACTAAAAGACGGATGCGCATTTATGAGTCTCGGAGTTGTATTTTCCCAAGCTTATAATGTGTATAGCTACTGGTAGTTGCAGGCAAGTCTGTGGCAACCAGGGTTTAGGGATGATAAATCCTGAAGCAATTTGAAGTTGTAATGATGCTAGTGATACCATGGCAACTAGTAAGCTCTGCCTTACAACTGCAGCAACCAGGACTTGCAGACTACATAAAAAAGTCAAGCACAGTTTATCAGCTGCCACGAAGACAATGGAGGATGCCAGTGAGGGATTAGGATTATGTCTGGAAGAAACCTATTCCCAGCAATAGATACTGTGAAGGCCTGTATCAAACGATTACAGCAACATGCAAATGTCTATATTCCTGTACTTGGCATGGCCATATTCGTATCTGCTGGTTGTGCTGTAGGTGCCTGTGGCTGAGCAACCTGTGCCTGACCGTAGTCGCCAAAGCTGCCAACAGGAGCACCGTTTCCTCCTGCAGAGGCTTCGCTGCCAGCGCCGCTCACAGCGCTCGGCACAACAGGTTGAGATGCAGCTGGAGCCATCTGCTGCTGCATCATCTGCTGGCCCTGCGAGTACGCCTGCTGTTGGTCCTGGGGGGCAGAGACTGCCTGCTGCGGGGCCATCTGCAAGGGTTGCTGCGGCGTCTGAAGCGGCTGCTGGACAGGCTGAACTGCCTGAATAGGCTGCATTGGCTGCATCGGCTGCTGTTGCGGCTGCTGCGGCGGCTGCTGATATGTAGGCTGCTGCTGGGGTTGCAGCGCCTGTTGCTGTGGCTGCTGCGGCTGCTGCTGTTGAACAGGGTACTGCTGCGCTGGTTGCTGATACTGCTGTGTCGACTGCTGATACTGCTGTGGCTGAGCTTGCTGTTGAAACTGCTGCTGCGGCGACTGCTGATATTGCTGCTGCGCTTGCTGCTGCGCTTGCTGCTGGGCAGGAAGGGACTGCTGAGGCTGCTGTGGTGCTTGCTGATATTGCTGCTGCTGCGGTTGCTGCTGCTGCTGCTGCTGCTGTTGTGGTGCTGGCTGTGCTGGCTGTTGGTACTGCTGCGACTGCGCGGGCTGCTGCTGCTGCTGCTGCGGCTGCTGCTGTTGAGCAGGGGCGGGCTGCTGCTGTGCAGGCTGATACTGCACTTGCTGTGGTTGCTGGGTGTATTGGACCTGCTGGCCTGGAACTTGAGCTGCTGGGACAGGCTGCGCCGCTGCTGAAGGCTGCGTGTATGTCTGACCTGGCTGAACCGTTGGAGCCTGCGCAAAACATGAAAAAAAAATCAACATATAGTAAATTAAAGAAAATAAAAAATTTAGGAGATGTGCGGGAAGGCTGATTGAAAGAAGACGTGCATGGGTAAATTCTTGATATTATCCGGTACCTGAGGAGGAGGAACTTGAGGCTGCGCATCGGCGATCGCAGCTAAGTACATAAGATTCTGTTGAAGCCTAGCCTGGTATCTGTAACACAAAAGCAGACAAGTTATCGATGTGTACATGTCACGGTGCTTCCTCTAGAAAACATTTATTACATAGTCTGCTTACTGTGCGCATTCATTGAGTTTTCCCAAATTCTGATTGTCGAGGATCGCCAGGATCAGCTGCTTATTCTCGTCCAAATACTGAAAAACCAAGAATAAAAAAGTAAGTTGTAAGATACAGAATGAAAGCGCAATCAGCAACAGGCGGCAAAAAAAACGCATTACCTTTTGTATAAGTTCTGTAGTAATAACATTTCCAGAATAGGGCGAAGACTGCACGGGCATCGCCATAGAAACGAGAAGATAGTCTTTCCTTGATAGTATGGGAAGGCTAGGGCAAGCAGCAACGAAACGCGAAAGCAGAAACGGAATGCAAGATTTGAATCGAAGATTCGTAAGGTTGTGGGAGGTAGGGTGTCAAGGAAACGAGATGTGTGCTGGGATTGGTGGGAGTGGGTTTCGCTGGCAGGCTGTGACAGGAAATGATGGATGCGCATTGGTTGAGTTGGAGTTTCAAGTGTTTGGTAACACGAATCTCCGCCGTTGGATAAGAGGGGAACGAACGGCGAAACTCGCGAATAAATTCCCCCCCACCCCCACCAATTGCGGCAGCGTATTTTGACACTCGAAAGTTCCAGTTGGTCTGAAAAGCCCTCCTGCTTCACTTTCATGGCTCCCTAGTCTCAGCTAGAATCTTCACATTTGTTTTTGTTGTGGACCAGCCATGGCCGCCTACTGCATGTCCAACGTCGTTTCTGGCCTTGCTTCCAAGGTGATTTAACTCGCTTACGGCCTCAAGGCAAACGTCGCTGTATCTACACTTGGCGTTGAAACATGATACTCACTTTAAAATGTCGTATTCGTGCAGGCTTCCTTCCTCCCTGGATCCTGCTACATCAACCACAATCCGAAGGTCCAATTTTCAAATCCAGCCACGTTTCCTACCCAGCGAGTTAGAAAAACAACCGTCTGGGCCAGCAATGAGGCGGGAATCTCAGATGAACTCACTGTCACATTTCCGAAGTCGAAGCTGGTGGTTCCTTACCCTGACCATGAGCCGAAGGTGTACATAAGCCGCGAAGAATCCGCATCCGAGGTGGCATCCGCTGTGGCGGAGTACATTCAGCGGCTTTCGGCTGAGGCGACGAAGACCAGAGGTGCTTTTACCATCGCGCTATCTGGGGGCTCGCTGGTCAATGTATGTCTCAGCGCATCTATTTCTGCTTCTTAGGCGATACGCCTACAGATTCGTGAATCTAGACGCTCATGGTTTCTGGTTGCAGGCTTTACTGAAGCTGACAGAAGAACCCTTCAGATCGTCAATAGATTGGAAGAATTGGCACGTCCTGTGGGTGGATGAGCGTGCGGTGAAGCTTTCGAGCCCTGACAGTAACTACAAGCTCGCGATGGTGGGTATCTGGGGTAGCTGTCCCTGGTTGATTCGGAGGGTACTGATGTACGTTCAGAATATTTGGTTTCTATGCAGGACAAGGTGCTTTTGAAGGTTCCGATTCCCGAGGAGCACATTTACGCTATTGACGATGAGTTGTCAGTTGTGGAAGCTGCAAGCGACTACGAGGAACTCATGAAGTACGTGCTGGCCTCTATTTGCATGTGACTCACATCGCTGCTTTGTGAAGAGACCCTCGTTACATTAATATCAGGACGTATCGTCCTTCAGGGAGCTTGTGGAGGAGGGCGTCCTCAGAACAACACAGGGTGTGCCTTTTCCTCGAATCGACCTGGTGAGAACCCTCCCATTTAACGATGTTCCATTGCCCACGAGTGGTCAATCCTGATGAGGCCTTATGGAGTGTGCAGATTCTTCTCGGATTTGGTCCTGATGGCCACGTGGCTTCACTCTTCCCCAACAGCCCGCTTCTGCGTGAAACGTCAAGATGGGTGCTTCCTGTCACAAATTCGCCAAAACCACCTCCAGAACGGATCACCATGACACTCCCTGTCATCAACTGTGCTTCAAATGTGAGTGCCTGTTTGTGTTGCACTGCAGTGCCTTGATCTCTGACCAGGGCAATCACCTGTGCTTGCTGCTGCTGACACATTAATTGTGGCTGTGATCAGGTTGCATTCGTTGCGACAGGAAAGGGGAAAGCTGAGGTGGTGCAGAGAATCTTTGGGAGGCTTGCTTTACCGGGTGCACTGCCTGCTCAGCTAGTTCGTCCTTACAGTGGACCAGTCACCTGGTTTGTAGATTCAGCTGCAGCTTCTGAATTGCCTGCATAGGTATAAAAAAAATGCATTCCAGAAGCAATAACATTTTTGGACCAGGGCAGACCCTAACCTAACTATTTCTAAACACTTCAGGTACGGAACCAGAAAATATGCGGCCAAGGTGTGGAACCAGAAAATACGCGGCCAAGGATTAGAATAGCTGGCTTCCAATGCCAATACCGAGGTCATCAGCAAGTCCATCCCAAAGTGGCAGAAGTGTGCCAACTGCCAGGGCGATTGCCACAGCAAGGACTGCCTGCCTCTGCCAGCCAACTCCTGAGACATCATTCAATGCAGGCTTCTCAAAGTCCCTCTGGTGGACAACAGGAGGCACGGGGAGAGGAGACCAGTTATGCCTGGGCACACCATACATTCTTCAAGAGCCCACACATTCTGGGCATGACTTTGACACAACCATACCTGAAGAAAGAGGACGTAGAGGCCAAAGGGCAGAGAAAAAGGTCCCCCAAGCTGCAAGCAGGCGGGTTCAGACAGGAGGCATGCATTAGTGCACAGGAGGATGGGATCTGAACAGGCTCAAATAAAGCGCAGCTTTCCAGATGAAGAGGTACGGTGAAGCTATGTCTGAGGCAGGCTCAAACAAAGCGCAGCTTTCCAGGCGAAGAGGCACGGTGAAGTTATGTCTGAGGCTGAAACTAGTGGAAGACTGCTCATGAGTGCACTCACCAAGCCGAGTCCCAGAAGTCCGTACGTAACGAGGCTAGTGATGCCCACAGTGTCACGCCCAAATGCAGCCTGGTTGCATGCAGAAACAGGAGGGCACGCGGAGAATGCATGTGAGGTGAATGCAAGGGCGGATGGAAGATAGCAGCCTACCTGTATCAACAGACGTCCAGGCATGAAGCCAACTGCAGTGGGGGTCATACCTGTGTGGCTCGTCCGCCGTCGATCCGACCTGCTGGCAACAGATTGAGAGCAGAGGTGGTCAAGCCACACCTGTGGCAGCAGGGAAATGGCAGAGTGGTGGAGGGGTTGTGTGCGCTTGGCATGGTGAGGCAATGGAGCAGGAGGATGGACCACAGGCTGGGCAAGGTTACTAGCTGCACGTATGGCAAGCAATGTGGGGCACCCGAAGGGGATGGCGATCGGGCGTGAGAAGAAGCGGCTGAGCAGAGGCACGTACCATCCAACAATGACGAGGGGGTGGATGGTGATTGCCTGCACATGCATCAAGCTGATTGGAAGCACAGGGGGGAAGGGCACATGATACAGGGCTTGATTTAGGCATATTAGTGCAAAGACAGTGTGAGGCGAGGCTTACTATCGCTCCGCCCCCTTTTCAAAACCCTAAAAATCACTCCCACTCGTATCCTCATCACGCGTATCACAGCACCACTCTGCACTCCCTCGTATCCCAGCACCACTCTGCATTCGCTCTTATCCCAGCACCACTCTGCACTCACTCGTATCCCAGCACCACTCTGCACTCACTCGTATCCCAGCACCACTCTGCACTCACTCGTATCCCAGCACCACTCTGCACTCACTCGTATCCCAGCACCACTCTGCACTCACTCGTATCCCAGCACCACTCTGCTCTGCACTCACTGGTATCCCAGCACGGCACGGCACAGTGCGCCAAGCAGCAGGGAGCCTTGGAAGAGCTGCGAGGGCACCTGCACCAGCGAATCCTGCAGCCCTGGCAGCGCTGCCAGCGGGCCAGATGGCGGCAGCGAGAGGGCAAGGCCCGCTGCAAACATGGCAAGCGACAGCGCTGCACCGGCTAGCGGGCCGGCCATGGCAATGTCAAAGAGAGCAGTGCGGTCGGGACAGGGGCTCTTGATCTGGAGCAGGTAGACATTGCATGGGAGAAAGGGGGGTGGAGGGGGGATGGTATGAGGGAAACGAGTGAGGCATGAAGGATGGAAGGGGTAAGGAGGGGTGCGCGAGAAGAGTAAAACTGCATGTTAGAGCAGGAGAGAAGATGAAGGAGGTTTGAAAGGTAAGTGCCAGCCCACGCGCACTGCACCTGAGTGATGGCCCCGAAGCTCCCAATGGTGATGTTGGGGATGAGGTACGGGATGCCGAGCCTGACCCGCTTCTGTGCTGCCGTCAGCCAGTGGGCCACCTCCTGGTGTGGTTGGGTGGGGTGCAGGGAAGAGGGTTGAGTGGTTGCCGTGGGTGATTGGGTGGAAGAAGCTAGTGGGTGGCAGGGAGGGAAGGATAGCATAGCGCATGACCCATGAGCAATATGGATGGTGGAGGCGAGAGGGTGAGGTGGGCCTGCTGAGCCACACCAAGTACACTAATGTTTCTCTACACTCACGTGGAAGAGCAGCACTCACGTGGAAGAGCAGCACTCACGTGGAAGAGCAGCACTCACGTGGAAGAGCAGCACTCACGTGGAAGAGCAGCACTCACGTGGAAGAGCAGCACTCACGTGGAAGACTTGCACGCCAAAGACCCCGTAGGCGATGGGCAGGGCGTTGCGCACGAAGGGCGCCAGCACCGTCACGTCAGGCGGGGTCAGCTCCTCGGGATTGGGTGATGTGAAGTAGCGAATCACATCGGGCGGCACCTTGGAGATCTGGGCGGCACGCAAAGGGGGAGGGAGTGGGCGTGAATCATTGGTTGGAATGATGGTACTGCCGCTTATATCTCACCTCCGCTCCACTGCACTCGCACTCAATTCATCCCGATTTGCCCCAGTGCCAATTATGTGCACCATCACGCCACACCCCTCCCAACCCCCCCCGCCACAATAACACGCTCCTCTTCCCCACTTCCTCATCCCTCTCCGCCCCCTCTCCTTCCCCCACCTGGCTGGCGAGGCCCAGTTCAAGGCACGCCCCCCCGGTGAGCGCGAGCAGCAGCGCGGCGAGGGCGAACTGCCACGCGGAGGTGGCGCGGCCCTGCAGCTGCTCCGCGCGCACCACCACCATTGCCACGCGCTCCTCCTTCCCCTCCACCTCGCTGGGCGCCGCGCCCGGCTTGCGCGGTTCGTTCACCATCAGCAGCTCGTACTTGCTGCCAAACAGCAGCCGCATGCCCGCGCGCAGCTTCGCGAACACCTCCTCCTTGGGCCCGCGCAGGTTACCCTGTAACAGCACGGCTTCGCCCGCCTCGCCAAAGGGCTCCTGGCCGGTGACGAAGAAGGTGGAGTAGCCGAAGAGCTTGGCGCGCAGCAGCGCCACGTCATCCGCGTCGACCTTCTCGGGCCCCAGCAGCGCCACCACCGCGTACGAGTCCAGCTGCACGGGCGCGGGGGATGATGGCGGGGCGGCGGACGGCGGGGGAGGCGGAGAGGAGGATTCGGGCGGTTTACTGCCGGCTTCGCCGTCGGGCAGAGTGCCGACGGCCTTGGGCTTGTCTTCGTCCTTCTCTCCCCCCTCCTGCCCCGCCGCGCGCACCACGGGCGCACGCCGCCTAGCTGGCTGCGGCCGCAGAGGCACGCGCGCGCGCGTTAGCGGATTCGCTGTTAATCGCGGAGGAGTGGCCGCTGGCCGTAGCGCGGAGGCGAAAGGCGAGAAGGCGGGCGGAGTGGGGTTCCATGTCCGCGCGATTGAGGAGCACGACGTGGGGCTGTGCGGAGACACAGTTGCACGGTTGGCGATGTGCGGGCAAGGCACGACACGAGCCATGCTCCGCACACGCGAACGCGTCGGACTGCCTGTCGCTAGCGGAGCGTTGAAGTAAGTGATGGAAACGGTGCCGTGCACGTGGCAATGCGCAGAGGACAGAAATTAGGCGCAGTGTGGGAATGCAGGAATGTGGGCTGAAATACGAGAATTGCGGGGATTGTGTGAAGATGGTGGAACGACACGGAGAACTTACTGATTCGCGCTTGCGAACTCGGAAAGTGTTTGTGGTAACCGGATATTTGGAACCTTCTCTCAATACTCGTGATGGTTATCGAGGAGCTCGCGAAGACGACCTAACGCAATCGGTGACGAGTAACATGATATATTACACAACTCACTGCTATGATTAATTTCATTTTCTTTCCCCTTCACAACTAAACTTGAAGCGTCCCCTAAAAGAATCTGTGAACTAATTTATTTTATCTTTGGCCTAACTCTCCCTAGCTTGTCAATTTTGGCGATAAGCAATGAAGTCAGCAAGGCCGATGAGGGGAGCCGCCTTGTGCTGGTCGAATGTGCTGAGCTGCTCCTTGGCCTTCCGAATCAGCTCCTCTGCCAGCTCCTTGGACTTCTCCAGCCCCAACAACCTTCATGAGATGAGGGAGGGGTGAGGAAAGGGAAGTGATGGCAGGGGTATGGGTTGAGAGAGAGGAGGAAGGACAATAAGAGATGACAAGTAACAAGCATTTTCCTCAACTCCACTTGAGAATTCGACAAGAGCAACGGGCCCAGCATGCGCCGGAACAGAGGGCTCACTAGAATAGGTGCTTTTGTCTAGAGGGCTTACTTGCAGAAGGTGGATAGGTCTAGAGGGGCTCGCTTGGGGTAGGTGATTTTATCTCACTTGAAGTAAGTGGTTTGACTCACTTGGGGTAGGTAATTTTGTCTCACTTAGAATAGGTAGTTTTGTCTCACTTGGGGTAGGTGGTTTTGTCTCACTTGGGGTGGGTGATTTGTCTCACTTGGGGTAGGTGGCTTGTGTCACTTGGGGTAGGTGGTTTTGTCTCACTTGGGGTAGGTGGTTTTGTCCTGTGCGAGGTCCTTGCCGGCTGTCTTGCCGAGCTCCTCCGTGGACTTGGTCACGTCCAGAATGTCGTCCACCACCTGCGCTCACGGCAACCCCGCACATATGCACAGAGGGGAGCGCAGGGAAAGAAAGGGCAGAGGAGGGGAGGGGTGGGGTGGGAAGGGCAGAGGAGAGGAGGCAACCATGAAGTGAGTGGAATTTGTTTGCATGCGGTAGGTCTTGGTAAGCCTATAGCAATGGAGCAATGCAAGCATGGAGAGGAGTGGAGAATGCAGTGGCACGCGTGACAAACGCCGTACCCTGTGCTGCCATACATGGCATGACATGTCCGTGCCCAGACTCAGATTCGACTGCCTGTGCGCCTTCACATTCCTTGACGGCACCGCTACAGCCTCAACCCCAAACCCCGTTTTCCTGAAGCTCACCCACCCACCTCCAAGTGGGAACCCCATTTCCCCCTCCTTTCCACTTGGAAGGCAGCTCTCTCCCCTCCTCACCTGGAAGCCGAGCCCAACGAACTGGCTCACCTGGAAGCCGAGCCCAACGAACTGGGCGTACTTGCGGAGGCGCTCCACCTGGTCGTCGTTGGCGCCGCCCAGCACGGCGCCCGCCACCACCGACACTTCGAGCAGCGCGGCGGTCTTGTGCACGTGGATGTACTCCAGCGTCTCCACGCCCACAGGGTTAGTTGCGCTCTCCAGATCCACGATCTGCCGCGCGCACACGGGGGTAGAGAGAGGGGGGGGGGAGGCAAGGGGCGACGGCGAGGCCGGCCATGGAAGCACGATAAGACACACTTGGTCCCCATTCGTTCTCGCTCACACATCTTTTGCACACTCCCTCTCCCCTCAGTGATTTCTCCTATAAACCATGTTCGGCAGCCCTGATCCTCTCGTGCTACCGTCTGACGTAAGTTTCATTGCCAGAGCACTTCGCTAACCCTTACGCTGCAGCCCCTCATCCCCAATCCAGTGGCTCCAATGGCCTGCTGCTTCTGGAGGCGCTGAAATCGGCCACGGAATGTACTCGAACGCACCATCTCACACTTTAACCCCCTACCCCCGCGCTCCCCGCCCTCCCCGGCCCTGCGCACGCACCTGGCCGGCGACGAGTCCCTCGGAGCCGACGGCCTTGCCCATGTCGGCGATCACGCGCACCACGCGCTCCGCCGGCACGGACGAGGGCGTGGCGCGCGCGACGTGCTCGAAGGCGAATGACAGCAGCGCGTCGCCCGCCAGCACCGCCACATCCTCACCGTACACCTGGGGGGGGGATGCGGGGAGAAGGAGGGGGAGGGGATAGAGAGGGGGAAACGTGGGGACGGTGAGAAACGAGACAATGGAACAAAACAGGCGGTGGGATGAAGGAAGGGCTGGCACGGCGAGGCTTTCGTGGCTGGTTTCCTTTCAGCCACTCCGTTCGACCGCGGCAAATTTCCCACTTCCACCCCCATCACCTAAGAATCCCCTATTCCCATCCCCCGCCTCTCCCTTAAATTCCGTAAGTGAAATCTATCCGCCCGAGGCCGTGCAAAGTGGTGCGGCGGACCTTGTGGTTGGTGGGTTTGCCGCGGCGGAAGTCGTCGTTGTCCATGCAGGGCAGGTCGTCGTGGATAAGTGACATCGTGTGGATCATCTCCATCGCGCACGCCGCCGCCATCGCCACCGAGTCACTGCCGCCCACCAGCTCGCACGCCGCCAGGCACAGGCACGGGCGCACGCGCTTGCCGCCGGCGAGCAGCGAGTAGCGCATGGCCTCGTGGATGCGCTCCGGGTACTGCAGCGGCACCGCCGCGTCCAGCGCCGCGTTGACCGCCTTGGCCTTGGCATACATGTACGCCTCGAAGTTGAAGGGCGCTGCGCGGGCGACATGAGGGACGGCGGCACACGCGGGGAGGGGGGATCACGGGAGGATAGGGAATGGCGCAGGACGGCGGAATGCAAGAGAGAAGCAAGGAAAAGGCTTGGGAAAAGCAATGGGAAGCAAGCGGTAGGCAACGGGAAGGCAAGGGGAAAGCAAGGTGTTGCTGCGATCAGGGACGTCGATGACCCGCGAGGCCTGACCTATTCAAACTCGACAAATCAAATAGCAGCTAGTTCATATACGTCATCCAGCAACCGAATCTTGCTCGTGGCAAGAACTCGCTAATTTTTTATACTTTCAAAATGTCGTCTTTCCTTGACCGTACAGCCCAATTGCGGTGAAGAGAGAACAGCGGCTTACGAAGCGCGACTGACCTGGCACGGCAGCCTGCTCCTCCACCTGCACCTCCTCCACAGCCTTGGCCGCCACGCGCACCGCCGCTCTCCGCCGTTGCGGCCGCACTGATGCAAGCTGTGGGGTGGCGAGCGCCAGTTGGCGCGCGGCGGCGGCCGTCGAGTGTGAGAACGACATCGGCGCGCAGCGGCCCGCGAGGCCGCTGGATGGTCTGGCGAGTAGCGCCTTGGACGAGGCGAACGACGCCATTTCGATTCGTGTCAAAGCGGAATGGGCAAGGCGTGCACGGCAAGGAACAGCGCAAGACGCAGCAGCTGCGAGTACGCAAGCGTGGTGCTGTCCTGATACTCCCGAGGCACGGGGAAAGCAGCCGAAAAGAGAGAGGCCACGGAAGCGAATTTGGGCGCGACACGCCGAGGAAGGGAGTGCGCAATCCCAAGGTGCGTGGCAGCGGGCTGCGTGCGGTGATGAAGGACGAAGGAAAAAAACCTCAGTAGGAGACGATAACTCGTAAGCTTAGCGTTTCGCACCTTTGCGTCGCCTCAACCGCGACAATCCCAAATCCCAATGTGCGGGAAGGATTGGTGACTTGGGGATGGTGGGGACGGGGGGCAGCTGACGGGGCAGGATGGGCCAATGATGTGTCTGCGGGCAGAGGATGGGGCAATGAACAGATAACGTGCGGTTACGTGCGCCAATGACGGGAGAGGAAGTTTGAGGGGCAATCAGTGAGGAAACCATTGGCCATGATTTCGCAAAACACTCAGCACATCGAGATTCGCGATTTTGCTCGTGTAGAGCACAATGTCCTAGTGTGCTCTGCACCAGCCAAGCAGCAATAGTTCCGCCGAGTTTCCCTATATCGAGGAATGCGCACACAGCAATTTCGCAACTAGTCGCACACTAAAATTTTGCGCGGAGATTCAACCACAGCTGTAGGATCCACTCTGCTGGTTACGAGTCTTCCTCAAACGCGGAACACACACTCTTATTCGAATCACTCCCCCACCCACCCACACTTCCTTTCTCCAACCAAACCACGCCATTCCTTGTCTTCTCCCCATCTCCCGTACGCTTGGCTGATCTCGGCACTCCCGTTCGCTCCGCACCACTCCATTGCCCTACGCGCGTGCTCACTCCACCGCACCGCAGCGACGCGTTCAGCGGTCGCGAGCAGCGATGGCGAAGAAGAAGGAGGCGACGCCCAATAAGGGCAAGCCGGGCCACTCCATGGACGCCACGCGCCGCGACGGCATGGGCAAGTCGTCGACCGGGCCGGGGTCGTCGATGCGGTCGGCGGCGACGGTGCGGCGGCTGGCGATGTACAAGACGCGGCCGTGGCGCAACAGCAAGGGCAAGGTGCTGCACACGGACCTGCAGTCCAAGGCGCTCCCCAACACGCGCATCAAACCTGACCGCCGCTGGTTCGGTCAGCACCTCGCCCCGGGCCCCTCCCAACCCTCTCTCCCCGACCCGTCAGTCCTCCGCGAGCTATTTGTTTGCGCTGACCTCAGCCGTGTCTCTTTCGCGCGTGGTGTAGAGTGACGGAATGAGGCGCATAGTCCGTTTTGGGAATTCTCGTGCGGGCAGCCCGGTCGAAGCTGACGTTCCCTGTAACGCCTCGTGACTCGCGAGCCCTTCGTTTCGCCGCTGATATGGTTCTGAACCCGAAACCCGAAACCTCGAACCCTAGATCTGTGCTTCCTATCCGAGCCTGCCTTGCAGCGATTCCGTTGACGACAACCGAACCCCCGTCCGCACGAAAGCCATAAATCCGTTTGTGTAAACCCCTATGCGAACCCCAAACCCTTGCACGGCTTGGCGCAGGCAACACGCGCGTGGTGGGGCAGCGCGAGTTGGAGCGGTTTCGCGAGGAGCTGGGCAGCAAGGTGTCGGACGCGTACACCGTCGTGCTAAAGCACCGCACGCTGCCGCTCTCGCTCCTCAACCACCAACCCCAGGTATGCCACCTGACCCATTCACTTCCCGCCCTCCCCTCCCTCGCAAGCTTTGCTCCCTGTTCGTCCTGTCCCCATTCCACTTTCTCCCCCCCCGCCACTACCTCCTTCTCCCCTCTGCCCTCCTCGGCCCCCCCGCCCCCTCGGACTCACCCCCCTTCTTCCCCCACTCCCCCTTCCTCCTCCCCCCCCGGTGTGGCAGGGCAAGGCGCGCGTGCACATAGTGGAGACGGAGCCCTTCCAGGACACGTTCGGGCCGGGCGCCAAGCGCCGCCGCCCCAAGCTGGGCGCCGCCGCCGAGGGCTACGAGTCGCTGCTGCAGCACAGCGCCGCCAAGCAGGGTAGGGGGAATGGGGCCGCGGACAAGCAGGGTAGGGGGAATGGGGGCGCGAACCAACAGGGTAAGGGGAACGGGGGCGCGGACAAGCAGGGTACGGGGTAGGGGGGTGTGGAGAAGCAGGGTAGGGAGGATTGAGGGGCGCGCGAGAGGGGGACGGGTTAGGGCCGCGGATAGCTGCTACATGCCCTCTACCGTGGCACCTCCGCTCCCCATCCCTCGCCCTTCTCTTCTCCTCTTTCCCCGATATTTGACTCTTTGTCTCCCCCCTCCTCCTCCTCCTTCCCCCTTCTTCCCCCCTCCCCCCCCCGCGTGGGGCGCGCAGAGTCGTTTGAGGGCAAGGCGGGCGGCAGCGAGGCGGTGACACGCGCGCAGGACTTGGAGGACGGGGTGCGGGCGGTGGTGCGGCACAGCATGTTCGACAAGGGGCAGAGCCGGCGCATCTGGGGCGAGCTGTTCAAGGTGCTGGACTCCAGCGACGTGGTGGTGCAGGTGCTGGACGCGCGCGACCCCATGGGCACGCGCTGCACGTACCTCGAAAGGCACCTCCGCGACAAGTGCCCTCACAAGCACCTGCTGCTGCTGCTCAACAAGGTGCGTCAGGTCATCACTGCGCGTCAACCAGTGATTGGCTCTCGTGTGCGTGTGTGTGGAGTGGCGTGAGGTGCTGTGCCACTGGCGTCGCGCCACTGCTGTGTCCCACACCCTCACGTGCCATCACCCACAATTTACTGCCCTCCTGCTCCCCTTCCTCTGCCCACCTGTTCCCCCGCCCCCACTGTGCGGCACGGCTGGGTGCAGTGCGACCTGGTGCCGTCGTGGGTGGCCAAGGGGTGGCTCAGAGCGCTGTCCCGCGAGTACCCCACGCTCGCCTTCCATGCCTCCATCACCAACCCCTTCGGCAAGGTATGCCCATCACCAACCCCTTGGGCAAGGTAACACGCCTTGTGCGCTTGGGCCAGGAGCCATGGCGTGGCAGGCAGGCTGGGCTTGTGTGAGGGCGTGTTAACCCTTCGGCTCTCTGCATCGTTGCTGCCGCTGCTGCATGTGTGCGCCTCGTGCGTGCCTCATCACGCCCTGTGAAAGCCCCATGTGAAATTCCATTCCTCCCCTCTGTGCGTGCGCCTCTCTGCGCCCCTCCCCCTGTCCCTCTGTGCGCGGTGCAGGGGTCGCTGCTGTCGCTGCTGCGGCAGGTGGCGAGGCTGAAGAGCGACAAGCAGGCCATCAGCGTGGGGTTCATCGGCTACCCCAACGTTGGCAAGTCCTCCGTCATCAACACCCTGCGCACCAAAAAGGTACGTCGTCCCTAAGGGTGCGTGCGTAACCATCAACGCTTTTCCTGTTGCCCCCCTCATCTGCACTTGCCAGCCCGCGTGAACCCCTGCTTGCATGCCCCTCACCCAACTGCTCTTCTCCACCCCGCTGCCCCCACCGCCCTGCCACGCGCCTGCAGGTGTGTTCGGTGGCGCCGGTGCCCGGGGAGACGAAGGTGTGGCAGTACATAACGCTGATGAAGCGCATCTTCCTCATCGACTGCCCGGGCGTCGTGTACGCGGACGCCAGGGACAGCGAGACGAACGCGGTGCTCAAGGGCGTTGTGAGGGTGGCGAACCTCGAGGACGCCGACCAACACATCCCCGATGTGCTCAACCGGGTCAAACCCGCCTACCTCACCCGCGCCTATGGCATCGAGAAATGGTGCGTGCCCTGGTCCGCTCTGCCCACTCCCCTATCTGTGCCACTGCTGCCCCTGCCTGCCTGCTTTGTGCTGCTGCTCTCCTCTGTGCGCCTGCACTGCATGCAGCGCATCCCCTCTTGCGCCTGGCTGCAGCATCACATCATCCCCTGCGTGCTGCTCTCTCCTCACGCCTGCCTGTGTGCTCCCCCCCCCCACCCCCCCATGCGCCGTGCCCTGTGCCCCACCAGGGAGGACGCGACGGACTTCCTGTCACAGATGGCCAAGCGCACCGGCAAGCTGCTCAAGGTGAGAGGCAAGCTGCTCAAGGTGAGAGGCAAGCTGCTCAAGGTGAGAGGCAAGCTGCTCAAGGTGAGAGGCAAGCTGCTCAAGGTGAGAGGCAAGCTGCTCAAGGTGAGAGGCAAGCTGCTCAAGGTGAGAGGCAAGCTGCTCAAGGTGAGAGGCAAGCTGCTCAAGGTGAGAGGCAAGCTGCTCAAGGTGAGAGGCAAGCTGCTCAAGGTGAGAGGCAAGCTGCTCAAGGTGAGAGGCAAGCTGCTCAAGGTGAGAGGCAAGCTGCTCAAGGTGAGAGGCAAGCTGCTCAAGGTGAGAGGCAAGCTGCTCAAGGTGAGAGGCAAGCTGCTCAAGGTGAGAGGCAAGCTGCTCAAGGTGAGAGGCAAGCTGCTCAAGGTGAGAGGCAAGCTGCTCAAGGTGAGAGGCAAGCTGCTCAAGGTGAGAGGCAAGCTGCTCAAGGTGAGAGGCAAGCTGCTCAAGGTGAGAGGCGTTGGTCTCAGTGACTGGCGTTGTGGAACATGCCCTCTTCTTCCTTTGGCCGGATCACAGCCACCCACGCACAGCCACACACACACATCCACACATGGGAGGTGATGCAGAGCGAACATTGCATGAGGGGGTCACGCGTATGGGAGGTCACGAATCACGATGGGAGGAGGGGGTCACAGTGGGGTGAGGCGGCAAGGTGTGGGCAACTGACGTTGCTGACAATTCCCCCTTGCTGCCGCACTCCCCTTTCCACCCCTACTATCCTCCCTCAATCTCTCCACCTCCCCTCCGTACCTCTATTGTGTCCTTCCCCTCCCCCCCTCTCCCACCCGTGCAGGGCGGGGAGCCGGACGTGCAGACGGCGGCCAAGATGGTGCTGCATGACTGGCAGCGCGGCAAGATCCCCTTCTTCACCCCGCCGCCCGACTCCGACGCTCTCCCACAGGGGGGCGCTGGGGGCAAGGCCACAGGGAAGCAGGGCGCTGAGGGGGGGGATAGTGCAGAGGGGGCGGAAGGGTTGGAGGCGGAGGGGGAGGCAGGGGAGGAGGAGAGTGCGGAGCGGCGGCAGCTGAGCGAGCAGATGGAGAAGATGACTGAAGTGCTGCGCGAGGTGGCCCGGCGGCAGCAGAACATGCGCGTTCCCACCAACGCTGGGCTGGCTTTTGATGAGGAGGACGCACGGGGCCAGGGCAAGACAGGCAAGCGGGTGAAGCAGAAGGGCGGGGGGGAGGGGGGGGAAGGTGAGGAGGGGGGGGAAGGTGAAGAGGGGGAGGAGGAGGAAGAGGAGGAGTTGGAGGAGGAAGAAGTGGTGGAAGAGGAGGAAGAAGAGGATGAGGAGGGAGAGGAGCGGGAGGAGGGAGAGGAAGTAGAGGAAGGAGAGGAGAGAGAGGAAGGAGAGGAGGGGGAGGAGGGAGAGGCAAGAGCAGAGGGATTAGAGGATTCAGAGAGGGAAGGTGAGGCAGGTGCAGGGAGAGAAGAGGAGGAGGTGGGGGGAGGCACAGCAGGAGGGTTGGCAGGGGAGGAGGTGTCATGGGAGGAGCTGGTGTCGGGTGTGGGGCGGGCTGTGCCGCAGCCGGCCAAGGGGGGCCAGGGGGATAGTGAGCAGCAGCGCCCAGCGGGGAGAGGGGGTAAGGGGGGAGGGGGGCAGCAGGAGGGGGCGGGGCGGAAGGTGGAGCTGAGCCGAAGGGCGAGGGCGGCAGCAGCGAGGGCACAGAAGCAGGTGGCGGTGCAGGAGAGGAAGCGGGAGTGGAGTGGTGTGCAGGACAAGGGGAAGAAAAAGGGCAAGGGCAAGAAGCGTAAGGACATGTGAGGAAGTGTTGACAGGCATGAATAGAGAAACGCCCTGCCAGCATGCCTCTCCTCTGTCACAGCCGCTTTTGGAGGCGCCTACAGCAGCACGAGATGAGGGGGGCTCTCTGTGCAGGCAGCTGGTAGCAGGCAGCTGGTTGCAGGCATGAAAAAAACACTGCTCACCAGTTGATGTTCATGCTGGTGTCACAGGTTCCGATATTGTTAAGGCAATATTTGTCTCTCCCGCGTGCACAAGCAGATTAGGGCAGCGTTCTTTTGAAAACGCATAAGCATTGACTGAACCTTGCAGGACAGAAGCATCACAGACACACTCATTACCGTATGTTTCGTAACATTGCACTTAACACTTAAAAAAGGAATTCAGCAGCATGGGGGAGCTACTTGGGGTGGGAGCGCTGTGTCTTGGCGCAGTGCGGGCAGAAGAGGCAGATGCGGTAGCCCTGCGGCCACTTGGCTGGGTCCACCTGGCATAGAGGGCAGCGTGGGGAGGGGGGTGGGGTGAGAGGGCGGGTAGAGGGGTGGGTGGGTACAGTGGGGTGGGTGAGTAGGATGGGATGGAGGACATGGGGACCTGGGCATGGCAGGCAGCATGGGGAGGGGTGCAGAGAGCGGGTGGGTAGAGTGGGGACGGTGGAAGCCAAAGTGGGGTGGCGGCAGAGCAGGAGATGGGGGAAGTGGAGCACGAGGCGCAGACACAAGTCTGTGTGCCCGCCCACCACCACGCCCCTCTGTGCCTGCCTGCCGCCACACACCTGCCCAGCCAGCAGCGCGACCTGCTCCTTGTAGAGCGCCCTCACGTCCGCCAGGTCGGCTTCGAGCTCGTCCACGCGCTCGTTGCGCTCGCCCACCATCACCAGTGCCACCTCGTGCCGCGCCCTCAACTGCTGTAGCTCCGCTTCCAGCGCTGGCACCGCCACTCGCTCCTGGTGGGGGGAGGGGAGAGAGCACGGGGAGGGGTTGAGGAGAGGGAATGGTGTGAGCATGGTGGTGGTGCGGAGCAGCCATGCTTGCATCCCGACTGCTTCCCAAACCTTGTCAAGTCCTCTCCGCCTGCCGCCAACGCACCCACGCACCACCAAATGCCTCTCCACTCCCATCCAACACTCACGCACTTTGCCCCACCACCCACTACTTGCCTCCCTTCCGCGGCCCCTCTTCCCCATCCCTCCTCCCCCCACCTTCTCGAGCGCCAGCAGGCGCTGTGAGACGCGCAGCAGCTCGTCCGCCGTGGCGTCCCTGGCTGCACGCGCCTCCTGCACCTCCCGCTGCAGCTGCCGCACCTCCCCCTCCTGCTGCCTGCCCGCCAACAGGGAACAGGGGGCATAGTGGGGGCGAAGGGAGAGGGGTTGGGATGCGGGATGCGACAGTGCGGGATGCGACAGTGCGGGATGCGACAGTGCGGGATGCGACAGTGCGGGATCATACTTGAGTGGCGGCAGCGTGGGTGTGCTTCCCTGCACGCACTGCATGCTGCACCACTGCCAGGGCAGGCAGGGGGGCAACAGTGAAGTGTGTGACACAGGCCCCTGGTTGCTATGTTTGTGGCTCCATCCCCCCATTCACCCTACACTCACCCTTCATCCTTCTACCATGCTGCCGTGCCAAGGCAGCATCCCAGGTGAAAGCACAGGTGTGGAACCAAATTCAACTCTTGAGAGACAAGGCAGGAGGCAGAGAGGGCGTGAGAGGCGGCGGAGAAGAGGGAGAGGGAAGGAAGCCCAGCACACAGCATGCCCACCTGACTTTGGCGCGCAGTCGCTCCATGCCCACACCGCCTGCTGCCATGCCCACCCCGCCTGCTGCCATGCCCCACCCCCCCACGTCCAGGTCGCCCAGCCGCACCGTACTGCCTCCCACCCCCTCCCCCCCCTTCGCCCCTCCCACGCCTACCGCACTCGCCCCCCCCGTCCCACCCCTTGCACTCCCCCCCCCATCGCCTGCCCTGCTGTTGCCCGCCAGCCCCTCATGCCCCCCTGCAACCTGCCCGCTGCTGCCTGCGCTGCTGCCTCGGGGGCTGGTGGGGGGGCGAGGGGAGTGCGAGAGGGAGAGGGCTGAGAGGGCCGGCAGCGGGGTTGGGGACGAGGCGACAGGCGATGCTGCCACGGCTGTGCTGTGGGGCGCTGCTGCTGCTGGGAGGGGCACGACCTGGGATGAAGGGGGGCGCATCAGACATGGGGGGAGAGGGGGACACAACTTTGGATGAAGCAAGAGCAGCAGAGGTGCGCTGATGAGTAGAGGCCACCGGATGGGCATGGCTGTGCTTCAACTTACCAGCATCTCAGCCCGTTCTTGCTGCTGCTGCTGCACCTTGCTCCCGCCACTGCCCTTGCCCTCTCCTCCCCCTCCCCCAACCCTGTCATCGCCCTCTGCTCTTCGTCCACTCCCTGCCCGCTCCATCTCCTGAATGCGTCTGACAGCCGCGTCTCTTGCCTCACGTGCTGCTTGCAGCGCTGCTGCTGCCTCGGCTCTGGCATGCTCCGCGATGCCCTCCCTCTCCCCCGCTGCCTGCGCCGCCTCCCGCAGTTCCTGCTGGCATGCAGGGCGAGGGGGGAAGGGAGGTGGTGAGAGGTGGGGGAGGAGGGAGGGAGGTGGTGAGAGGTGGGGGAGGAGGGTAAGTTGGGGGCGGTTCACAAGATCGGGCTCGGATGGATGACACACAGCCAGGCGAGGTGTGACACAAGGAATCGTCACGCTCACAGCGACCCTCTTTGTTGACCTATGGGCCCCACCCACCCACCTCTTGCTGCTGCTGCAACTCCTGCAGTCGCTTCACTGCAGCCTGCGCCTGCCTCTCTGCCTCCTCCCGACCCCTCACTGCCTCAGCTGCCCCTCTCTCCGCTTGCCCCGCCCTCTCCTCCGCCCTCCTGCGCCCCTCCTCTGCCTGGCGCCACCGCTGCTCCCACTGCTGCTGCTGCTCCTGGTGCACGCGCTCCCGCTCCTCCTCCTCCTGCTCCATCCGCCTCACCTGCGCCGCCATGCCCTCCACCTGATGCGCGCGGGGGATGCACAGCACAGGGAGCAGGGCGGATCGGCACACAGGGAGCAGGGCGGATCGGCACACCGGGAGAAGGTGTAAACTACCAGGGAAGCCATGAGCGGGCAAAGAGTGGAAGAGAGGGACGTGGTTGAAAGACACTGTGACTGTCACTGACTGTGACTGTGACTGACTGTGACTGTGACTGACTGTAACTGTGACCGTGACTGTAACCGTGACTGACAGTGACTGAGACCTTAACTGACAGTGACTGTGACTGTGACTGACAGTGACTGAGACCATGACTGACAGTGACTGTGACTGTGACTGACAGTGACTGTGACTGTGACTGACAGTGACTGAGACCATGACTGACAGTGACTGAGACCGTGACTGACTGTGACTGAGACCATGACTGACAGTGACTGAGACCGTGACTGACTGTGACTGAGACCGTGACTGACTGTGACTGAGACCGTGACTGACAGTGACTGAGACCGTGACTGACTGTGACTGAGACCGTGACTGACTGTGACTGAGACCGTGACTGTGACTGACTGGAGACCTGCCTGCCTCAAAAGAGGTTGAGTTGCTGCTGTGATGTGTGTGCTGACGTCACCATGAGCTGTCTCCGCCAGCTGGCACCGATTCTTGAGAGCCGCTATCTGGTGGGGAGGGGGAGGGCAGGGCGAGAGGGAGGAGGTGAGTGGCCAGAGGCGGCACAAAGCATGAGAGCAAACACAAGAACGGCTCCAGAACGACCTCACAGCGACCTCACAGCGACCTCACAGCGACCTTCAAAACGATCGTGAGGCGAGCAGCTGCTTAGCAAGGTTGCATGCGCAGATGTGAACATTCCTAGACAGCACATGGTGGGTGGGTGTCGCGAGAGCGTTCCGGGTTACTTGCACTGCACACACTCTCCTAATGCCTCCTCGACACATGGTCAGGATGTGCCACGTCTCTCACATACATGCGTCTCCATGACTTGCATCAGCGACCAGCATACCCCTTGCATCAGCGACCAGCATACCTCTTGCATCAGCGACCAGCATACCTCTTGCATCAGCGACCAGCATACCTCTTGCATCAGCGACCAGCATACCTCTTGCATCAGCGACCAGCATACCTCTTGCATCAGCGACCAGCATACCTCTTGCATCAGCGACCAGCATACCTCTTGCATCAGCGACCAGCATATCTCTTGCATCAGCGACCAGCATACCTCTTGCATCAGCGACCAGCATACCTCTTGCATCAGCGACCAGCATACCTCTTGCATCAGCGACCAGCATACCTCTTGCATCAGCGACCAGCATACCTCTTGCATCAGCGACCAGCATACCTCTTGCATCAGCAACCAGCATACCTCTTGCATCAGCGACCAGCATACCTCTTGCATCAGCGACCAGCATACCTCTTGCATCAGCTTCTCTTCTCTCTGCACTGCCTCCCTCTCTGCCTCCGTTGCCCTCTGCCACATGGAAGCACACACGCGTGCTGAGAGTGCTGAAGTACACACCTTTGTGACAAGGAAGAGATATGAGGACCACGATGCAAACATAATCGAAAAACACGTTGGGCACAACAAGCATGACACAGCAAGAATGAGAGACATACAAGGGATCAAGGCATGGCATGGCAGACGACAGCATAAGAGACGAGTGAGGCAAGGCGTGGAGGGGAGCAAGGGGGACCTGGGCGAGGGCAGTGAGAGCAGCTGTGAGGTGCCTCTCCTTGTCCGCCGCCTCTGCCTCGAGTGCCGTCCGCTGCTGCCGCATCTCCTCCCTCACCGCCTCCACCGCTGCTGCCCTCTCCTGCGCTCCCTCTGCCACCACCTGCCCTCCCCCCACACAGAGGCACAGTAGTAGAGGCAGTATGCAGTGCGGGGCAGTAGAGGCAGTGAGGGGCAGTAGAGGCATTTAGACACAGCAGGCACGAGCGCATCCAACCAAAGCAAACCATCCAGCAGAGCAGAGCACCTGAGCCTCGCCCTGAGCACCAGAGCCTCACTCACCCGCAGCAGCTGGTCCTTGTGGTGCTGCAGCGCCTGCTTGGTGGCTGCCAGTGCCTCGTTGGCCTCCTCCAGTAGCGACGACCTGGGTAGTGTGGGATGGCCGAATAGGGGCGCACACATGCATGCACACGCACAGACACAATTTTATGCAAGCCTGGATGCACTGAAACATGCACTAGCAGATATGGCCAGGCACAAACGATACGGAAGAAAGAAACATAGATACAGAAGGAAGGGATCGAGAGATTCCAGTGCAGAGAATGGGCACGTTAACCAGAGATGAATGAAGTGAACAGTGATGATGTGCAGTGATGGGTGTGAGGTAAGAGGTCATGTGGGAGGTAAGAGGTCATGTGGGAGGTAAGCGGTCATGTGGGAGGTTGAAGTTGGGGTGGTTGAGGTTGGGGTTGAGGTTGGGGTTGAGGTTGGGGTTGAGGTTGGGGTTGAGGCTGGGGTTGAGGTTGGGGTTGAGGTTGGGGTTGAGGTTGGGGTTGACGTTGGGGTTGAGGTTGAGGTTGGGGGCCGACCTGGTGGCGTCTGCGCTCTGGGCTGCCGCCTCCAGCGCCTGCAGCAGGGCAGCAGGGCGGAGCAGAGAGACACACACACACATGCGCGTTACAGGAGCTGCGTGAGCGGCCGTAGCGGCGGTAGAGAGACGAGGCAAAGGAGGAGCGGCACAAGGAAGGCTGCACAAGGAAACTACATAGGGGAATTCAAAGACGGAGAAGCAGATGACCTGCTTTGTGGCGAGCAGCCTGTCTCTGTCGGCCTCCACGCGCGCCAGGTCCTGGCGCTGCCTGGCTACCACTGCCTCCCTCTCCTCCACCGCCTGCCGCAACGCCTCACTCTCCCGCTCGCGCTGATGCCCGTGCCAGTGGAAGGGGAGAGGGGTAGGAGAGGGGGATGGTTGGTGTGCGGCGGAGAGAAGGGGGAGGGGACGGAGGAGGGGAGAGGTGGCCATGGGAGCAGGTACGACGGCTGAAGCAAACAGGTGTGGGGCATGCAACAATGATGAGTGATGCAGCAGAGGGTTGATGAGTGATGCAGCAGAGGGTTGATGAGTGATGCAGCAGTGGGTTGATGAGTGATGCAGAGGTACGACGAGCAGTGAAAAGGCAAGACGAGCAGTGAAAAGGCAAGCAGAGCCCGTGTTGGGAGGGCGGTGCTCCCACCTGCTGCAGCTGTGCGTCCTTCTCCGTCATGTCCCCCTCCATCCTCGCTGCTGCCTGCCTCTGCTCCTCCACCAGCCGCCTCAACCCGAAACACTCCTCCCTGAACGCATGCACCTGCACCCCACACATAACACGCACATCACAAACAACCAAGCACCACACGCACAGCCAGGCAGGAACGCACGCAGGAGGGCAGCAGCGGACGCGGGAAGGAAAATGAGAAGCTGGTTGCCTGGATGGTGAATAACGGGCGCGCAGACAGAGGGGCACGCCGGGCTATTCACGTGTGCTTGTGAAGCAGCTCTGTGGGCTGTGCGTCCTTCTCAGCCCTTCTCAGCCCACTCACGCCCTTCTCAGCGGCGTTGAGCCGCCGGGTGAACTCCTCATGCAGCTCGCGCAGCTCCTGCTCCGCCTCCTCTAATGTGCGCCCCCCCGCCCCTCCCCCTCCCCCTCCACCGCCCCCCTGTGCGCCCTCGAGTGCGCGCTGCAGGTCCTCCTTGAGGCGCTCGTTCTCCGCCTGCCACGGCCAGGGGGCGCGGGTTGGTGGGGTTGGCAGGGGAGCGGCAGGGGAAGGAACGAGTAGATGCAAGACACGGAGGGCGGATGGGCAAAGGGCAGCAAGACGAGGTGGTGAGGCACGCGGATGGAGTTGGTTGGTGGTGTAGTGATTGGTGTGAGACAGCGAGCACACACATGGTTGGTGGTGTAGTGATTGGTGTGAGACAGCGAGCACACACATGGTTGGTGGTGTAGTGATTGGTGTGAGACAGCGAGCTCACACATGGTTGGTGGTGTAGTGATTGGTGTGAGACAGCGAGCACACACATGGTTGGTGGTGTAGTGATTGGTGTGAGACAGCGAGCACACACATGGTTGGTGGTGTAGTGATTGGTGTGAGACAGCGAGCACACACATGGTTGGTGGTGTAGTGATTGGTGTGAGACAGCGAGCACACACATGGTTGGTGGTGTAGTGATTGGTGTGAGACAGCGAGCACACACATGGTTGGTGGTGTAGTGATTGGTGTGAGACAGCGAGCACACACATGGTTGGTGGTGTAGTGATTGGTGTGAGACAGCGAGCACACACATGGTTGGTGGTGTAGTGATTGGTGTGAGAGAGCGAGCACACACATGGCCGAGGATGATGGCTGCTGGCACAGCAGGGAGGGAGCCATCACACGATGCATGCAGCACATGGCACGATGCATGCAGCACATGGCACGATGCATGCAGCACATGGCACGATGCATGCAGCACATGGCACGATGCATGCAGCACATGGCACGATGCATGCAGCACATGGCACGATGCATGCAGCACATGGCACGATGCTTGGCACGTGGCAGGAGTGGCGAGCGGGCGGCCTGACCTGAAGGGGGGGTGGAGGAGGGCGGCCTGACCTTAAGGGGGGTGGAGGAGGGCGGCCTGACCTGAAGGGGGGTGGAGGAGGGCGGCCTGACCTGAAGTGCGCCGTTGATGACGGAGTGGGTGAGCAGCTTGTTCTCGTAGTGCTTCACTCTGTGGCGCACGCACATGCACGGGGAGGGGGGGCAGGGGACGTGTACGATTCAGAGCAAGAGCGCAGAGGAAGGAAGCAATGAACCGAGGGGCCATGCACGTTGTGTTTTTGCGATGCTGCTGCACCCGCCATACTGGAGCAGAGCATCCCCCCCCTCCCCCCCCCCGTGCCCCCCCAATGCGCTCACTTGACGGCCATCTCCTTCTTGAGCGCCGCCACTTCCCCCTCCAGCCGCGCCACCTCCGCACCTGCACCCACACACGCGGGTGCAGCACACACACACACACACACACACACACACACACACACACACATACACGGATGCAGCACACACACACACACACACACACATACACGGATGCAGCACACACACACACACACACACACACACACATACACGGATGCAGCACACACACACACACACACACACACACTCACACACACACACACACATACACGGATGCAGCACACACACACACATACACACACATACACGGATGCAGCACACACACACACACACACACACACATACACGGATGCAGCACACACACACACACACACACACACACACATACACACACATACACGGATACCAGCACACACACACACACACACGCACACACACACACACACACACACACACACACACACACACACACACACACACACACACACACACACATACACAGATGCAGCACACAACGCGGCAGGGCAGCACACAACGCGGCAGGGCAGCACACGGGGCAAGGAGGCGAACGATGGGGCAGAGGTCAGGTGCGGCAGAAGCGCGAGGCGAAATGGAGATGCCCCACGCAATACATGCGCGGGGGCGAGCACCGCTCATGCGGGGGAGAGCAACGCCCATGCGGGGTAGAGCAACGCCCATGCGGGGGAGAGCACCGCCCATGCGGGGGAGAGCAATGCCCATGCGGGGGAGAGCACCGCCCATGCGGGGGAGAGCACCGCCCATGCGGGGGAGAGCAACGCCCATGCGGGGGAGAGCACCGCCCATGCGGGGGAGAGCAATGCCCATGTGGGGGAGAGCACCGCCCATGCGGGGGAGAGCACCGCCCATGCGGGGGAGAGCAACGCCCATGCGGGGGAGAGCAACGCCCATGCAGGGGAGAGCAACGCCCATGCGGAAGAGAGCAACGCCCATGCGGGGGAGAGCAACGCCCATGCGGGGGAGAGCAACGCCCATGCGGGGGAGAGCAACGCCCATGCGGGGGAGAGCAACGCTCATGCGGGGGAGAGCGAGGGACGTGCAAGGCGGGGAGCAGAGAAGATGCCACATCCAGCGTCGCGCTGCTCCCGCTGCACGCAAACTCTGCACGCTCTCCGGCGCTGCGCCCACCCGCGCATCGCCTTGACCTGCACCCACCCGCGCATCGCCTTGACCTGCGCCTTGCCTGGTGCCCACGCCACCCGCACCACGCGTCGTCGCGCGTGCCTAGAGGCAGCCTCGGCCATTAGCGCACATGCTGCCATCTCCTGCCCCCCCCACATCTGCTTGCACCGACCCTTCTACCCCTCGCACCGCATTGCACACCGCGTGCTCACCGTCGTGCTGCGCGCTGCGATCATCCGACGGCTCTGCCGCTCCGCCATTCGCCATCCCTTCCGCAAACACCGCTCCCGTCGGCATTTTTTGTGAAGAAGAGGGTGTGCTACCTCATTGCGAGGAACGCGTGGTTGTGCGGCGGGAGTGATGCTGTCGAAGAGCGGACGGGCAGGGCGGAGTTGGTGCGCAGTTGGGAGTGTCCGAGAGGGAGTGCGCAGTTGGTACTTGACCTGAAAACGAAGTTGTTGGGCGAAAGCAAAACCCTATACAAGAACAACGTCACATGTAAAGATATTAAATATGTTTGCCTATTGTACTTGTTACCGTACCGTAATTATGAACATTGTGCTTCCAAATCCAGTCGCCTGCACCCAGGCCAGCATCACAATTCCTCCATAAAGTATACCAATTATACTCTTGAAATCTAGCCTTCCACCTACCATATCCTACGCAATTCTGTGCTGCGCAGTCAGACATATAGGGTACCAGCAGGAATATTCAGACAGATTGACGTGTCGAGCATCAGAGAAAAGTTGCCATGCAATGTTGCGGCTATGCTACAGAGGCTGACTGAAACAGATTGTCAAGCATCGGCTGAGTGTTGATAATTCTGACATGTTAAAAGAACAGCCGTACTTGATGCTTGTTATCTCCGCCGTTGATTCCGACTCAAACTTCAACAAACTTAACAAACTGATCCGTGATGAAGGGAGCAGAGGGGAAACAAACAAACAAGCAAAAAAAACAAAACAAGAACAAAATGAATGCCACTGCATGCAGTAGAAAAGCAATGTCGGAAGATGGGGCATGTAAATGTGAGGCAGGTGGAATGTGAGAACAGGTGGGACATGGGGCAGGTGAATGTGGGGTAACAAGTGGTGGCTCGGTAGGCAGAACAATGGCAGCAGGAAAATAATCAGGAAAGGGTTTGCTAGACATGCTTCTGTCAGAATGTTATGTTAAATTGTAATGTGTTATATGTTGGTAGGCTGTAGTGGGGTAGCCAATATGGGGTACAACCCCAACTAGGGTTTCATATTTGTACCCAAACTTCTGCTAGTTCATTCATTCTTGCCTAGTTATTCTGATATGGTATTCAGAGCAGGAGGTCCCTAGGACCTACCGACCGTTTTTTTAGGGCCCACCACCGCTCGCATGCGGTTACCACGCTACCCCGTGCCCTAGCCTCGTAGCGCCCTCGTTAGCGCCCTCGAGCGCCCCTCGTTAGCGCCCTCGCGCGCCCCTCGTTAGCGCCCTCGCGCGCCCCTCATTAGCGCCCTCGCGCGCCCCTTGCTAGCGCCCTCGCGCGCCCCTCGCTAGCGCCCTCGCGCGCCCCTCGCAGCGTCGCCCGCCCGCCGAGCCGCCCGCTCGCAGCGTCGCCCGTCCGCCACGCTGCCCGCTCGCCCCTCGCCCGCCGCGCTGCCTGCTCGCAGCGTCGCCCGCTCGCCCCGCTGCCCGCTTCGCAGCCCGCTCGCCCCGCTGCCCGCTTCGCAGCCCGCCCGCCCGCTCGCTGCCCGCTTCGCGGCCCGCCCGCTTCGCTGCCCGCTCGCAGCGCCGCCCGCCCGCCCGCTACCTGCTTCGCAGCGTCGCCCGCCCGCTTGCTGCCCGCTCGCAGTGTCGCCCGCTCGCCCGCTGCCCGCTTCGCAGCGTCGCCCGCTCACTCGCTGCCCGCTCGCAGCGTCGCCCGCCCGCCCGCTGCCCGCTTGCAGCGTCGCCCGCCCGCCTCGCTGCCCGCTTGCAGCGTCGCCCGCCCGCCCGCTGCCCGCTTGCAGCGTCGCCCGCCCGCCCGCTGCCCGCTTCGCAGCCGCCCGCCGCGCTGCCCGCTTCGCAGCCCGCCCGCCGCACTTCCCGCCTGCAGCGCTGCCCGCCTCGCCTGCTGCTGCCGCTGCTCTGCTGTGCCCTCACGCCTGAGCTATGGCCTCTATTCGCGTTCTTTCCTTCGATGCTGAGGGCCGTCCCGTGCAGTTCACTTCCTGGCTCGACGACCTGCAGTTGTATCTTATGAGCAATAGCACGGACCACATCTCCCTCTATGACTACGCGTCTGGTGCTGCCGCTGCTCCTGCTGCCACAGCCGAGCTTAGTGTACGTTCACAGTGGCAGACTCGTGACGCTGCAGCTCGCCTGGCTATTCGCAGTCACCTGCCGTTACCTGAGCTAGAGCACTTTGGCGACTGCAAATCCGCTAAGGCCCTGTACGACGCTGTCGTTGCTCGCTACTCCTCACCGGCCACAGCTGAGCTTAGCCGCCTCATGCTGCCTTACCTGTTCCCTGAGCTGTCCACCTTTGCTACAGTCGCCGATCTTATCACCCACCTTCGCACTAGTGACGCTCGCCTGCGTGCCGCCCTTCCCACTGAGTTCTGCGCTAAGAACCCCCCTCCACTGTACTGGACACTCCACTTCATAGTCACCCGTCTCCCTGACACCCTCAGCTCAGTGCGCGACTATTTCCTTGCTCGCTGTCCCACTGAGCTCACTGTCGCCCTCCTAGAGGAGAAGCTGCTAGCAGCCGAGAAGAGCATTGTAGCTGTAGGTGCTGCTCGCGGCGCTCCTCGCACCCCCATCTTTGAGGGATGCTCTCCCTCTCCCCTCGCTCCCTCCTATGCTACTGCTGCTGCTGTTGACTTCCTTGGTGCTGAGACTGCTGGCGCTGCTTCTGCTCCTGGTGGGAGGCGCCGCACCGGCAAGGGCAAGGGGGGCAAGGGTGGCGGGGGTGGCGCTGGGGGGGGAGGGGGTGGGGGAGGTGGGGGGGGAGGCGGTGCTGGAGGGAGCGGTGGCGGGAGTGCCGGTGGGAGTGGGGCCGGCGGCGGAGGCGGGGGCGGCGGCGGGAGCAGTGGCGGTGGTGGCAGCGGCGGCAGTGGCGGCGGTGGCGGTAGTGGCGGTGGCGGTGGCGGTGGTGGCGGTCGGAGCGGAGGTAGTGGCGGCGGTGGAGGTCGGAGTGGAGGCACAGGCTCGGGCCAGAGCTCCCAGCAGCAGCAGCGTCCCCAGTCGACCCAGCAGCTTCGTGAGTGGCTTGCTCAGCGTGGGACGTCGGGGGGCAGTGGCCGCTGTTCCTATGTCATTCGCACAGGTGATCGCAAGGGGCAGACGTGTGGAAAGTTCCACACTCAGTACCGCTGCTTCTTCCGCCTTGACGACGCTTGGCGTGAGGAGATGGGCGAGGATGTTGAGCGCCCTCGCTGGGCTGAGCTGATGAGGGCTGGGGTTGATATCTTTGCTCTTGACTATGATGCTATTATTGCTGCCATGTATGCATTGACTGTTAGTGCCGAGGGAGACTGTTACTTGTGTGTGCCGCCTGACCCAGGTATAGGGCCCGCTGCCCTAGGTACTCGTGAGTCTGCTCTCTCTGGTATGGTGCCCCCTGTACCTGCTCCCTCCAGCACTGTCCCTGCTACTTGCGAGTCTGCTCTCTCAGGTACAGCACCCACAGAGACTGCTCTCTCAGGTACTGCACCGGCTGAGCCCTGTCACACCTTCACCCTTGACTCAGGTGCTTCCCGCTGCTTCTTTCGAGACAGTACTGAGCTCACACCGCTTCCTGCACCGGTCCCAGTCTCCTTGGCTGACCCCTCTGGGGGCCCGGTCCTTGCCCGGTCCACCACTGTGCTCCCTTGTCCGGCGGTTCCGTCTGGCTCGTTGACGGGTTTCCACCTCCCCTCGTTCTCGACGAACCTGGTGAGCAACGCTGTCATCCAGGATCAGTGGGTTGACACCTTTACCCCTGGAGGACAGCGTGTGGCGATCTGCACGTGCTCCAGGACCGGCCGTCACCTGGCTACGTTTACTCGTCGGCCGGGGTCGAGTCTCTACACACTGACCACTGCGTCTCCTCAGGTCGCTGCTGTCGGTCAGGTGTCCGCGTCAGGTCTGGTAACCCTAGACTCTGCGTCCCTCTACTGCTCCTCAGCGTGTCCCTCTGCCGTCTCCTCCTGCGTCCTCTTTGCCTGCTGTTCCGGACCCTGAGTCTGACCGGTATCGTGCTGAGCATCTCCTAGCTACTGTTGTCACTGACCCTACCTTTGAGTCCTCGGCTGCGTCTGCTCTGGTCGCTGAGTTGGTTGACTTTGCTGCTGCCTGTCGTCTAGACTACGCTGCTCGCCTTGTTGCTGGGTCTGAGTCTGCGTCTGTCTGTCCTCCGTCCGTCGGGGGTGAGTGTGCTCTTGGCACGGACGTCCTTGAGGACAGGCAGGAGGACTTTGACTCTCTTGCGGCTGCTGTACCTCATCTCGTGGCCTGGTTGCTTGCCCCTGAGGGAGACCCGGATGCACTAGACATCCCCACTCCGCGCACTTACGCAGAGGCGATCTCGGGTCCCTACTCCTCTCAGTGGCAGACAGCCATGGACGCAGAGATGGCATCCTGGAAGTCCACAGGCACCTACGTCGACGAGGTTCCCCCTCCTGGGGCGAACATCGTCGATGGCATGTGGATTTTCAGGGTGAAGCGGCCGCCAGGTTCTCCGCCTGTCTTCAAGGCTCGTTACGTTGCTAGAGGCTTCAGTCAGCGTCAGGGGGTCGACTTCTTCCAGACCTTCTCTCCCACCCCGAAGATGACCACTCTTCGGGTTCTGCTGCACGTTGCTGCTCAGCGTGACTACGAGCTTCACTCTCTTGACTTCAGCACAGCGTTCCTGCAGGGCAGCCTGCACGAGGAGATCTGGCTGCGCCGCCCACCTGGCTTTACTGGGTCGTTTCCTCCTGGTACCCAGTGGAGCCTCCGCCGGCCAGTCTACGGTCTCCGCCAAGCGCCACGTGAGTGGCACGACACACTGAGGACTACACTTGCGGCTCTTGGGTTCGCGCCGTCTACTGCTGACCCGTCGCTGTTTCTGCGCACAGACACGTCGCTGCCGCCGTTCTACATTCTCGTGTACGTCGACGACTTGGTCTTTGCTACTGCTGACACTGAGGCACTCGCTCGTGTGAAGTCGGAGCTGCAGAAGAGACACACCTGCACTGACCTGGGTGAGCTGCGTAGCTACCTTGGCTTGCAGATCACCCGGGACAGAGCTCGCCGCACCATCACCCTGACTCAGTCACACATGGTGCAGCAGGTCCTTCAGCGCTTCGGCTTCCAGTTCTCCTCACCACAGGCCACACCTCTGGCTACCAGCCACTCGCTCTCAGCTCCACCTCCGGACGAGTCCGTAGAGCCGAGTGGCCCGTACCCAGAGCTTGTGGGCTGCCTCATGTACCTGATGACTTGCACGCGACCTGACCTCGCGTACCCTCTTAGCATCCTTGCTCGTTACGTTGCGCCTGGGAGACACAGGCGAGAGCACTGGGAGGCTGCTAAGAGGGTGCTGCGCTACTTGTGCAGTACATCAGGCATGGGGCTGGTGCTTGGAGGACACGACAGAGTTGTCCTCACTGGCCACTCGGACGCTTCTTGGGTGGACGACCTGGCTACGCAGCGGTCGTCACAGGGTTACACCTTCAGCCTTGGCTCTGGTTCTGTCTCGTGGCGGTCCACCCGTTCTTCTTCTGTTCTCAGCTCTAGTTGTGAGGCTGAGATCTACGCCACGGCCATGGCTGCACAGGAGTTACGCTGGCTCACCTACCTGCTGACTGACTTGGGAGAGCGGCCTAGTTCTCCTCCAGTTCTGTACGGCGACAACAAGGCGGCCCTTGCCTTGTGTCAGGAGCACAGACTGGAGCACAGGACGAAGCACATTGCTCTTTGCTACTTTCTTGCTCGAGAGCTTCAGCAGCGCGGTCAGCTTCGGCTTGTGTACGTGGACTCAAAGGCCAACACTGCTGATATCTTCACCAAGGCGCTCCCGCCTAGTGATCATCAGCGGCACTGTACTTCTTTAGGCCTTGTGTCCACGTTTCCTCACTTGCTCACTGCTTGACATTCTTTGTACTGTACTTTATATATATCTTGTTGCTTGCTTGCTAGGTTTTGATCACTGTGTTGCTTGTCTTGTACTATATCTAGCACTGCATGTGAACTGGCCTTGTGGCCTTTGCTTGTGCTCGGAGTGTGGTGACGTTGTGATCCACCCTGGGCTTGCGTTGCTTTGCTGGACTGGTCTTGTGACCCTTTGTTCTCCCCCACTTTGCCTATGGGGGTGTGTTAAATTGTAATGTGTTATATGTTGGTAGGCTGTAGTGGGGTAGCCAATATGAGGTACAACCCCAACTAGGGTTTCATATTTGTACCCAAACTTCTGCTAGTTCATTCATTCTTGCCTAGTTATTCTGATATGTTATTATCTAGCCTATAGTGGGGTGCTCTATAGCGAGTACAACCCAGTTAGGGTTTGCTATATGTACCCCAACTGCTGCTAGTGAAACCTCCTCCTTTCTTCATTCTTGTTTCTTCCTACTAGATTCTGACATGCTATCAGAGCAGGTCGACCCCCTTGGGTCGATCCTGTGGGTGGGCCCGCCACCTAACTGCTTCCGCTGCTGTTCTGCTTCTCGCGCGCCTCGGGCGCGCGCCGTCTTCTTCCTGCCGTGCGCTCAGGGCGTACGGCGGTTTTCTGCCCGCCGTGCGCCCCGAGGCGCGCGGCGGTTTCCTGCCCGTCGTGGCGCCCCCGGGGACCTGCGCGCTGCCCCCCGTCGTCCTCCTCCCGTCGCCTCGTCGCGGCGCCCTGGGGGCCCGCGCGTCCCCCCCCTCCCGTCGCCTCGTCGCGGCACCTTGGGGGCCCGCTCGTCGCCCCCCCCTCCCGTCGCCTCGTCGCGGCGCCTTGGGGGCCCGCGCGCCGCCCCCTCCCGTCGCCTCGTCGCGGCGCCTAGGGGGCCCGCGCGCGGCCCCTCCCGTCGCCCGTCGAGCCGCCCTCGGGGGCCCGTGCGCGGCCCCCCTCCCGTCACCCGCCGTGGCGCCCTCGGGGGGCCCGCGCCCTGCTTCTTCGTGCCACGTCGTGGTCGACCACGACCACGACCACGTCCACGTCCACGACCACGTCCACGTCCACGACCACGTCCACGACCACGACCATGACCACGACCACGACCACGACCACGACCACGTCTACGACCACGATCACGACCACGTCCACGACCACGTCCACGTCCACCACCACGTCCACGTCCACCACCACGTCCACGTCCACGACCACGTCCACGACCACGACCACGTCTACGACCACGACCACGACCACGTCCACGACCACGACCACGTCCACGTCCACGACCACGTCCACGTCCACGACCACGACCACGACCACGTCCACGACCACGACCACGTCCACGACCACGTCCACGACCACGTCCACGACCACGACCACGACCACGTCCACGACCACGACCACGACCACGTCCACGACCACGTCCACGTCCACGACCACGTCCACGTCCACGACCACGTCCACGTACACGACCACGTCCACGACCACGACCACGTCCACGACCACGTCCACGTCCACGACCACGTCCACGACCACGACCACGACCACGACCACGTCCACGTCCACGTCCACGACCACGACCACGACCACGTCCACGTCCACGACCACGTCCACGTCCACGACCACGTCCACGACCACGACCACGACCACGCCCACGTCCACGTCCACGACCACGACCACGTCCACGACCACGACCACGACCACGTCCACGACCACGTCCACGACCACGACCACGACCACGACCACGTCCACGACCACGACCACGTCCACGACCACGACCACGTCCACGACCACGACCACGTCCACGATCACGTCCACGACCACGACCACGACCACGACCACGTCCAGGTCCACGACAACGTCCACGTCCACGACCACGTGCACGACCACGTCCACGTCCACGACCACGTCCACGTCCACGACCACGTCCACGACCACGACCACGTCCACGACCACGACCACGTCCACGTCCACGTCCACGACCACGACCACGTCCACGTCCACGACCACGACCACGACCACGTCCACGAACACGACCACGTCCACGACCACGACCAGGTCCACGTCCACGACCACGACCACGACCACGACCACGTCCACGACCACGACCACGTCCACGTCCACGACCACGTCCACGACCACGACCACGTCCACGACCACGACCACGTCCACGACCACGACCACGTCCACGACCACGACCACGTCCACGTCCACGACCACGTCCACGTCCACGACCACGACCACGACCACGACCACGATCACGTCCACGACCACGTCCACGTCCACGACCACGTCCACGTCCACGACCACGTCCACGTCCACGACCACGTCCACGACCACGTCCACGACCACGACCAGGACCACGACCACGTCCACGTCCACGACCACGTCCACGACCACGACCACGTCCACGTCCACGTCCACGACCACGACCCCGACCACGACCACGTCCACGTCCACGTCCACGACCACGTCCACGACCACGACCACGACCACGACCCCGACCACGTCCACGACCACGTCCACGTCCACGACCACGTCCACGTCCACGACCACGTCCACGTCCACGACCACGCCCACGTCCACGACCACGGCCACGTCCACGACCACGACCACGTCCACGAACACGTCCACGACCACGACCACGACCACGTCCACGACCACGACCACGAACACGTCCACGACCACGACCACGTCCACGACCACGTCCACGTCCACGACCACGTCCACGACCACGTCCACGACCACGACCACGTCCACGACCACGTCCACGTCCACGACCACGTCAACGACCACGAACACGTCCACGACCACGACCACGTCCACGACCACGTCCACGACCACGACCACGTCCACCACCACTACCACGACCACGACCACGACCACGACCACGACCACGTCCACGTCCACGTCCACGTCCACGACCACGTCCACGTCCACGACCACGTCCACGACCACGTCCACGTCCACGACCACGTCCACGTCCACGTCCACGTGCACGACCACGTCCACGACCACGACCACGTCCACGACGACGTCCACGTCCACGTGCACGACCACGTCCACGACCACGTCCACGTCCACGACCACGTCCACGACCACGACCACGTCCACGACCACGACCACGTCCACGACCACGTCCACGTCCACGACCACGTCCACGACCACGTCCACGTCCACGACCACGTCCACGACCACGACCACGTCCACGACCACGTCCACGTCCACGACCACGTCCACGTCCACGACCACGTCCACGACCACGACCACGTCCACGACCACGTCCACGTCCACGACCACGTCCACGTCCACGACCACGACCACGTCCACGACCACGACCACGTCCACGACCACGTCCACGTCCACGACCACGTCCACGTCCACGACCACGGCCACGTCCACGACCACGGCCACGTCCACGACCACGTCCACGACCACGACCACGTCCACGACCACGACCACGACCACGTCCACGTCCACGACCACGACCACGGCCACGTCCACGACCACGTCCACGTCCACGACCACGTCCACGACCACGACCACGTCCACGACCACGTCCACGACCACGTCCACGACCACGTCCAGGTCGACGACCACGACCACGTCCACTACCACGTCCACGACCACGACCACGACCACGTCCACGTCCACGACCACGACCACGACCACGACCACGTCCACGACCACGACCACGTCCACGTCCACGACCACGTCCACGTCCACGACCACGACCACGTCCACGACCACGTCGACGACCACGTCCACGACCACGTCCACGACCACGACCACGACCACGTCCACGACCACGACCACGTCCACGACCACGACCACGTCCACGTCCACGGCCACGTCCACGACCACGACCACGTCCACGACCACGACCACGGCCACGTCCACGACCACGACCACGACCACGTCCACGACCACGACCACGACCACGGCCACGACCACGTCCACGACCACGACCACGTCCACGACCACGACCACGACCACGACCACGACCACGTCCACGACCACGACCACGACCACGTCCACGACCACGTCCACGTCCACGACCACGTCCACGACCACGACCACGTCCACGACCACGACCACGTCCACGACCACGACCACGTCCACGACCACGTCCACGACCACGACCACGACCACGTCCACGACCACGACCACGTCCACGACCACGACCACGTCCAGGACCACGACCACGTCCACGTCCACGACCACGTCCACGACCACGTCCACGTCCACGACCACGTCCACGACCACGACCACGTCCACGTCCACGACCACGTCCACGACCACGACCACGTCCACGACCACGTCCACGACCACGACCACGACCTCGCCCACGACCACGACCACGACCACGACCACGACCACGTCCACGACCACGACCACGACCACGTCCACGACCACGACCACGACCACGTCCACGACCACGACCACGTCCACGACCACGACCACGTCCAGAAACCACGTCCATGACCACGACCACGACCACGATCACGTCCACGACCACGACCCTGACCACGCCACGTCTACGTCCACGACCACGTCCACGACCACGTTCACGACCACGACCACGACCACGACCACGACCACGACCACGACCACGTCCACGACCACGACCACGACCACGACCACGACCACGACCACGACCACGACCACGACCACGTCCACGACCACGACCACGACCACGTCCACGACCACGGCCACGTCCACGACCACGTCCACGTCCACGACCACGTCCACGACCACGACCACGGCCACGTCCACGTCCACGACCACGACCACGACCACGACCACGTCCACGACCACAACCACGGCCACGTCCACGTCCACAACCACGTCCACGACCACGACCACGTGCACGACCACGACCACGTCCACGACCACGTCCACGTCCACGACCACGACCACGTCCACGACCACGTCCACGACCACGACCACGTCCACGACCACGACCCGACCACGTCCACGACCACGTCCACGTCCACGTCCACGACCACGACCACGTCCACGACCACGTCCACGTCCACGACCACGACCACGACCACGACCACGTCCACGTCCACGACCACGACCACGACCCCGACCACGTCGACGACCACGTCCATGTCCACGTCCACGACAACGTCCACGATCGCGTCCACGTCCACGTCCACGTCCACGTCCACGTCCACGACCACGACCACGTCCGCGACCACGTCCACGTCCACGTCTTCGACCACGTCCACGTCTACGACCACGACCACGTCCACGACCACGGCCACGTCCACGACCTTTTCCACGTCCACGACCACGTCCACGTCCTCGACCACGTCCACGTCCACGTCCACGACCACGTCCACGTCCACGACCACGACCCCGACCACGTCGACGACCACGTCCACGTCCACGACCACGTCCACGTCCACGACCACGTCCACGTCCACGTCCACGTCCACGTCCACGACCACGACCACGTCCACGTCCTCGTCCACGTCCACGACCACGTCCACGACCACGTCCACGACCACGTCCGCGACCACGTCCACGTCCACGTCCACGTCCACGTCCACGACCCCGACCACGACCACGACCACGTCCACGACACCGACCACGTCCACGACCACGTCCACGTCCACGTCCACGACCACGTCCACGTCCACGACCACGACCACGTCCACGACCACGTCCACGACACCGACCACGTCCCCGACCACGTCCACGACCACGTCCACGTCCACGACCACGTCCACGACCACGTCCACGTCCACGTCCACGTCCACGACCACGACCCCGACCACTTCGACGACCACGTCCACGTCCACGTCCACGACCACGTCCACGTCCACGACCACGACCACGTCCGCGACCACGTCCACGTCCGCGACCACGACCACGTCCGCGTCCCCGACCACGTCCACGTCCACGACCACGTCCACGTCCACGTCCACGACCACGTCCACGTCCACGACCACGTCCACGTCCACGTCCACGTCCACGACCCCGACCACGTCCACGTCCACGTCCACGTCCACGACCCCGACCACGTCCACGACCACGTCCACGACCACGTCCACGTCCACGACCACGTCCACGACCACGTCCACGACCACGTCCACGTCCACGACCACGTCCACGACCACGACCACGTCCACGACCACGACCACGTCCACGACCACGACCACGTCCACGACCACGTCCACGACCACGACCACGACCACGACCACGTCCACGACCACGACCACGTCCACGACCACGACCACGTCCACGACCACGTCCACGTCCACGACCACGTCCACGACCACGACCACGACCACGTCGACGTCCACGACCACGACCACGTCCACGACAACGACCACGACCACGACCACGTCCACGTCCATGACCCCGACCACGTCCACGTCCACGACCACAACCCCGACCACGTCCACGACCACGTCCACGACCACGTCCACGTCCACGACCACGTCCACGTCCACGTCCACGACCACGTCCACGACCACGACTACGTCCACGACCACGACCACGTCCACGAGCACGACCACGTCCACGTCCATGACCACGACCACGACCACGACCACGTCCACGACCAACTAAACTAGTCTCCGCGTCCTCCGCCTTGCCGTCGCTGTTCGCCACACTTCACCCAAGGAACCAACCTCTGTCCGCCAAGCCCTGTCCGGCCCCGACAGTGACAAATGGAGAGCAGCCATGGCTGTCGAAATCACGTCGCTGAAAAGGCGCGGCACCTGGAAGCTGGTCCCACGGTCATCGGCAAAGGGGAGGAAAATTCTCAGCGGCAAATGGGTTTTCCGCATCAAAACTCTTGCGGACGGCTCGGTCGACAAATACAAAGCGCGGTGGGTGGTACGGGGATTTGAGCAAACACACCTGGTGGACTTCACTCTCCCCTATGCACCAGTGGGCCGCCGCACCTCGGTGCGCATCCTCATTTGCATCGCCGTCGTCAAATAGCGACCGCTCCGACAAATCGACGTCGGCAGCGCCTTCCTGTACGCTCCCGTCGACGCCGTCATCTTCGTCGAGCAGCCGCATGCCTTCGAAGAAAACGATGGCGCCGTGTGCCTCCTCCAAAAATCCCTTTATGGGATTAAGCAGGCACCCTGTCTGTGGCAGCAGTACCTCCACTCCGTCCTCATCGAGCTCGGCTTCACTCAGCTGCCGCACGACCTCGGAATGTACAGGCGGGAATCACGTGGAAAATTCCTCGTCGCCTACGTCGACGACCTCCTCTACACCGGCGACGACACGGAGCTACTGGATCAGTTCGAGGCCGACATCAAGGAAAAGCTTGAAGGACAGTCAATCACAACGTCACGCAATTTCTGGGCCTCAATGTGACTCAGTCCGCCTCCTCCATTCACCTCTCCGCCGCCAAGTACGCCGAAACACTCGCGAAGCGGTTCGCCATCGCACCAATCAACCTCACCATACCTTATCGCACTCCTCCTCCTAACCACAAGCCAGACACCACGCCACTCTCCCCCGACAATCATCGCCTCTATCAGCAGCAGCTGGGATGTCTCCTGTTCGCCGCCGTCACGTGCCGGCCCGATCTCTCCTACGTCGCAAGCCAGCTCGCACAGTACCTGAAGCGACCTGAAGGGGAGAATCTACTGGATCTACGCCGAGCACTTCAATACTTCGTCTCCACTCCCGACGTCGGTCTCACCTACGAAGCTAACTTAACAGCTACCTTGCAGCTACATGGCTACGTAGATGTTGATCACGCAGGAGATGCTGACAACAGACGCTCCCGCGCAGGATTCATTTTCCAACTCCAACCTGCTGGACTCATCTCCTGGAACTCTCAGAAGCAAGAGCTCATCGCCCTTTCGTCAGCTGAAGCAGAATTCATCGCAGCCAGCGCAGCTGTTCGCGAAGGACTGTACCTGATGGAGCTCCTGCAAGAGGCGAAAGTGACGATGAACGGGCACTTCACGTTACTCTGCGACAATCAGAGCGCGATAAAGATCGCGAACAAGCCCGGCTTCGTCAACCGCACCAAACACATCGCCCTTCGCTACTTCTTCGTGAAGGACGAAATCGACAAGGAGAGGGTCAAGCTCACGTACTGCCCGACCGGTGACATGGCAGCCGATTTCCTGACGAAGAAACTGCCACGTCAGCAGTACCAGCACTGCGCCAACCTCTGCAAGATCGCCAAGAAATCCCACGTGGCCCACCTTCAGGAATGAAAGGGGGTGTTGGAATAACCGAAAGGTTATATAAGCATTCCCGAAGCTGTTCCTGTCAGAGGTCCGCTGGTGATCCCCGGTTGATCCTAGTGAAGGGTTACAGGCACGTTTGCCTAGGGGGTTATGGGCGCACTCACCCGCTACTTAAACAAGCCCTTTTATCCCAGTGGTTAGTGACTGGGATTCTGACATGGTATCAGAGCGAAGGTCTCGGGTTCGAATCCCGGTGTATGCACTTCGGGCATCCCAGTGCGGGGGGGTGTCAGAGGTCCACTGGTGATCCCCGGTTGATCCTAGTGAAGGGTTACAGGCACTTGCCTGGGGGGTTATGGGCGCACTCACCCGCTACTTAAACAAGCCCTTTTATCCCAGTGGTTAGTGACTGGGATTCTGACAGTTCCACTGTACCAGCACCGCAATAGCTCATATAGAGCATGCGGAATGTCGAGGGTCACCCGAAGGTCAACCGTCGAGGGTAGTCAACGGTCGTGACCCTTGACGATCCAGTAACCACGCGACAGTTGTTCGCTGCTACATGGTAAGTCGCGGTTACTGTAGCTATGAAATACAGCTAATAAGGGAATGTACCCCTCAAAGTACATGGCTAGCTAGTTTGCTATTTAATCTCTTGTACTCCTATCTTTTAATCATCTTGTTCTCTTTCAACTATTATTCAACAAGGTCACTACAGAGACTTCATTGTCTCCTCTCAAGCTTAACAGATCTTATACTATCTACTTGATCCTTTGATTATATCAACAGTAATGATTGAGCGGCGTAATGATTGAGCGGCGCAGCGACGCAACGACGCAACGAGGCAACAACGCAACGGCGCAACGATCCGACGGTGCAATGATGACATACGATGTAATAAATCGCAACAGCGCAACGACTCAATGGCGGATCTGCATTTACTAGAACTACTACATATTATAATGTATGTACCATTTTAGACTATGTGGCACATTGTAATCATATTGGAACATTGTAATATCTTGACAATCGAGCATCGTGACTAGCGAGCATCGTGACCAGCGAGCATCGTGACTAGCGAGCATCGTGAATACCGAGCATCGTGACTAGCGAGCATCGTGACTAGCGAGCATCGTGACTTGTGAGCATCGTGACTAGCGAGCATCGTGACTACCGAGCATCGTGACTAGCGAGCATCGTGACCAGCGAGCATCGTGACTAGCGAGCATCGTGACTTGTGAGCATCGTGACTAGCATCGTGATTGACATCGTGAGAATGTAAAACCGTTAAGAGGTATAAGTAAAATTCAAAAAAATCCTTTAAAAATCCGTGAAACCAATTATTTTGAAAATAGATTGTTCAGTGAGATCATAGAAAAACATAATAACACTAAAATAAGCTAATCTAAAGAGGAAAAAAAAATGATAACCTAGTAGATTTAGCTAGCTTATGGATGTAATAAATCGCTACAACGCAATGGCGCAACGATCGAGCGGCGTAATTGTTGGAATAACCGAAAGGTTATATAAGCATTCCCGAAGCTGTTCCACTGTACCAGTACCACAATAGCTCATATAGAGCATGCGGAATGTCGAGGGTCACCCGAAGGTCAACCGTCTGTCAAACATTATATATGTTGTAGCTTTGTAGGCTACAGTGGGTTTAGCCTTAGGGGGTACACAATTCTAGGGTTGCATATTTGTACTCCCATTCTTGCTAGCCAAATCATTCCCGTTGATTCTCACATGGTATCAGAGCGGGTTCCCTAGTGGGACCGTATCAGAAGTTTTTTTTTAGCCTGCCCGAAGCGCGTTTCGCGCCCTGCCCTAAAAACGTACGGCCCCCTAGTGGCCTTCCCTCCCGGGTGCTGACCTACAGGATGGGGGGGTTGACCAGTTCACTCCTGCGCGTCAGCGGGTGACCCACTGCACGTGTGCTGACACGGGCCGACACTTGGCCACGTTTACCCGTCGGCCGGGGTCGAGCCTGTACACACTGACTACCGAGTCTCCTCCGGTTGCTGTGCCTGGTCAGGTAGCTGCGTCGGGTCAGGTGTTTGCTGCAGCGTCTCGGTCTGGTCCTGAGTCTGCCCCCTGCTCGTGTCGCCTCCTGTCCCACCAGACTCTTCTCTGGCACCACCGTCTTGGTCACCCCTCCCTGCCAGGGCTCTCGTTATCAGGGTAAAATACCCTTTTTGCACTGACTGGCGGCCGCTTTTTTTCAGTTACCCTTTCACAGGCAGGGTAGTGGATTTTTTACCCTAGGCCAGAAAGTGTAAGTTTTTTTGTACCCTTTGAAAAACAGCGTAAGCAACTTGTTTCCCTTACTGTACCAGTGTACTATCCCAGAAATACTGTTGCCGAAAACTCCGTAGCGAGACGAAACAATATGCGGGCCCCTGCAAAACACTCCCAACAGCAAGATTCGACCCTGCGACCTTTCAGATATAACTCGAAATTTAACCAGTTGAGGCACTTAGTGTTGAATTTGACAATTTTGTTTTTTACCCATAACTTAAAAAAATAAAAATACCCTTTCTAAACAGACTTCCAGTTTTTTTACCCGTCATTTGTCAGAGAAACAAAAATTTTACCCTACGCATCACGGTTGACTATACCTAGTACCCTGATTACTAAGGGAGGCCCAAAACGAATCTGAAGCCCTGCTCCCTACCTCGTCTCCGAGGCATGGCCTCTCGTGTCCTTGTCTCTGGTCTCCCCCGGTCCCTCCCTCCCCTCCCTCCGGGGCCTGCCCCTACCTGCGTTCCCTGCGTCGAGGGGCGGCAGCGCGCCGCTCCTCACTCCTCCGAGTTTCCGCCGACAGAGGCTCCGCTGCAGACTCTTCACATGGACGTGTGGGGCCCAGCCCGCGTCCGTGGACAGGGTCATGAGCGTTACTTCCTGTTGGTGGTTGACGACTACTCGCGTTACACCGCAGTCTTCCCCTTGCGCCGCAAGGATGAGGTCACTGAGGTGTTGATCCACTGGATCCGCACTGCTCGTCTCCAGCTCAGGAAGAGTTTCGGCTCGGACTTTCCTGTTCTGCGTCTGCACTCCGACAGAGGTGGAGAGTTTTCCTCCGGCCCTCTGCGAGCTTTCTGTCGTGCGAGGGGCATCCGCCAGACGTTCACGCTTCCGGCCTCTCCACAGCAAAATGGGATTGCTGAGCGCCGCATCGGCATGGTCATGGACGTCGCTCGTACGTCCATGATCCATGCGGCTGCTCCCCATTTTCTGTGGCCGTTTGCGGTTCAGTACGCGGCGCATCAGATCAACCTTCAGCCCCGGGTCTCCATGCCGGACACCTCCCCCACTCTGCGGTGGACGGGGAAGGTTGGCGATTCGTCTACGTTCCGTGTCTGGGGATCTCGGGCTTTTGTCCGAGACTTGTCTGCGGACAAGCTGTCCTCCCGTGCTGTTCCCTGCGTCTTCCTTGGCTTCCCCCCTGACGCGCCTGGTTGGCAGTTTTACCACCCCACCTCGCGCCGTGTTCTGTCCTCCCAGGACGTCACGTTTGACGAGTCGGTTCCGTACTACCGTCTCTTCCCCTACCGCGCTGCCCCCCTCCCGCCCCCGCCGCTTTTTCTAGCGCCAGGTCCCCCCCCGGTAGACCCCCTCCCCCCTCAGGGTCCTGCTCCTTCAGGTGTGTCTCAGGTAGACCCCCCCCCCTTGGCTGAGCCTTTGGAGGTCACTTCCGACACCTCTGGCCCACCTGAGGGGGGTGACGTTGCTGCTGACGCCCCGGCGGCCTCCCGCCGTACACCACGCTTGGAGACCCCTCCGGGGTTCCCTCCGCGACCTTCCTCACTGCCTCTGCCGCCGGTTCCTGTTGACTCTGGTGCTGCTGAGGGCGGTGCTCCTGGGGGTGCGGAGTCTGGGGGTGCTGAGCCTGCGTGTGAGGAGTCTGGAGGTCTTGCGCCTTGGGGTGCTGTGTCTGGGGGTGCTGAGCCTGTGTGTGCGGAGTCTGGGGGTGCTGAGTCTGGAGGTGAGACGCTTGAGGGTACTGGGACTGCTGGTGCGCGGTCTCCTTGGAGTGGCCGCCTTCGTTCGCTTGTGCCTCTCACTTCGCAGCAGCTGCACGACTGGTACGGTCGCCGTCAGGTTCGCGCTGCTGGAGCCCGGGGCTCTGCTGCTGGAGGTACTTCTCCTACCGTTCCTGGAGCTAGGAGTGGTGCTAGTAGTTTGTCTCCTGGAGGTACTGGAGCCGCTGGTCCTGGCGGTGCTCGTACTGAGGGTACTGGAGCTGCTGGGGCTGGGGGTGCTGCGTCTGGGGGTGCCGCTGCTGGAGACACTGAGGCTGGAGACCCTGGGGCTGGAGGTGCTGGTTCTGGGGGTGCTGCTGCTGGAGACGCTGCGGCTGGAGACCCTGGGGCTGAAGGTGCCGGTTCTGGGGGTGCTGCTGCGGGCGACTCTGCGGTTGGCGACCCTGAGACTGGAGGTGCCAGTCCTGGGGGTGCTGCTGCTGGTGACGCTGGTTCTGGAGGTGCTGGCGCTGGAGGTACCGGTTCTGAGGCTGGAGCTTCTGGAGCTGCTGGAGGTGCTGGAGCTGCTGGAGGCGCTGGAGCTGCTGGAGGTGCTGGAGGTGCTGGAGCTGCCGGTGCTGGTGCAGCTGCGCCGACACGCCTGTTCTTCGCTCCGCCGTCTCCGTCGTCTCTGCCGCCGCCTGACTCTGCTCTTCGTCAGGTTCTTACTCTCCCGTCGTCCACTGAACTTCCGTTACCGCCTGGCTCGCCGCTGCCTGCTCCTTCTCCTTACACTGAGCAGGCCGGTGGTCTTGCTGAGCGTCGTGAGCCTGCGTCACGTCCTGTCTCGCCTGTTCGTTCTGGTCGTCCCGGTCGTCGTGTTTCTCGTACGCGTCAGCCGGCTGTCCCCAGCGCACACCTTGTTGTCCGTCGTCCTTCTGCTGCTCTGCAGTCTGCTCCTCTGCCGTCCCCCCCTGCGTCCTCTCTGCCTGCCATTCCGGACCCTGAGTCTGACCGGTTTCGTGCTGAGCACCCTACTGTCACGCGTCTGCTAGCCACTGTTGTCACTGACCCGTCGTTTGAGTCTACTGCTGCGTCTGCCTTGGTTGCTGAGCTTGTCGACTTTGCTGCTGCCTGTCGTCTAGACTACTCTGCTAGCCTTGTTGCTGAGTCTGAGTCTGTCTGTCCTCCGTCCGTCGGGGGTGAGTGTGCTCTTGGCACGGACGTCCTTGAGGACAGGCAGGAGGACCTTGAGTGTCTTGCGGCCGCTGCGCCTCATCTCGTGGCCATGCTGCTTGCCCCTGAGGGAGACCCTGATGCACTAGACATCCCTACCCCGCGCTCTTACGCTGAGGCGATCGCGGGTGAGTACTCCTCTCAGTGGCAGGCAGCCATGGACGCAGAGATGGCATCGTGGAAGTCCACAGGCACCTACGTCGACGAGGTTCCCCCCCCTGGGGCGAACATCGTCAGTGGCATGTGGATTTTTAGGGTGAAGCGGCCGCCAGGTTCTCCGCCTGTCTTCAAGGCTCGTTATGTTGCTCGAGGCTTCAGTCAGCGAGAGGGAGTCGACTTCTTCCAGACCTTCTCCCCTACCCCGAAGATGACCACTCTTCGGGTACTGCTGCACGTTGCCGCTCAGCGTGACTACGAGCTTCACTCTCTGGACTTCAGCACAGCTTTCTTGCAGGGCAGCCTGCACGAGGAGATCTGGCTGCGCCGCCCTCCTGGCTTCACTGGGTCGTTCCCTCCTGGTACCCAGTGAAGCCTCCGGCGGCCGGTCTACGGTCTCCGCCAGGCGCCACGTGAGTGGCACGACACACTGAGGACGACACTTGCGGCTCTTGGGTTTGCTCCGTCGACTGCTGACCCGTCGCTGTTTCTGCGCACCGACACCTCGCTGCCGCCGTTCTACGTCCTCGTGTACGTCGACGACTTGGTCTTTGCCACTGCTGACACTGAGGCTCTTGCCCTGGTGAAGTCGGAACTTCAGAAGAGACACACGTGCACAGACCTGGGTGAGCTGCGCAGTTACCTTGGCTTGCAGATCACCCGGGACAGAGCACGCCGCACCATCACACTGACTCAGTCACACATGGTGCAGCAGGTCCTTTAGCGCTTCGGCTTCACCTGGTCCTCAGCACAGGCCACTCCTCTGGCGACAGGTCACTCGCTCTCAGCTCCACCTTCGGACGAGTCCGTAGAGCCGAGTGGTCCTTACCCAGAGCTAGTAGGCTGCCTCATGTACCTGATGACCTGCACTCGTCCTGACCTCGCGTACCCTCTTGGCCTTCTGGCACGCTACGTGGCTCCTGGTCGGCACCGAAAGGTGCACATGGATGCCGCGAAGAGGGTACTGCGTTACTTGTGCAGTACATCAGGCATGGGGCTTGTGCTTGGAGGGCAGAGTCCAGTGGTCCTCACTGGGCACTCAGACGCTTCTTGGGTTGACGACCAGGCTACGCAGCGGTCGTCACAGGGGTACACTTTCAGCCTTGGCTCTGGTTCTGTTTCTTGGCGTTCTACTCGCTCGTCTTCAGTTCTCAGCTCCAGTTGTGAGGCTGAGATCTACGCCACAGCCATGGCTGCACAGGAGTTGCGTTGGCTCACCTACTCGCTGACCGACCTGGGAGAGCGGCCTCGTTCTCCTCCAGTTCTGTACGTCGACAATAAGGCTGCCATTGCCTTGTGTGAGGAGCACAGACTGGAGCATAGAACGAAGCACATCGCTCTGCGTTACTTCCTGGCTCGAGAGTTGCAGCAGCGTGGCCAGCTTCGTCTTTGTCACGTGGACACTCGGGCCAACACTGCTGATATATTCACCAAGGCACTTCCGTCTGGTGATCATCAGCGCTTTTGTACTTTGTTAGGCCTTGTACCTACGTTTCCACACTTGCTGTAGTCTCTGCTTGTACTGTGATCTATATATACCTGCATGTTGGCTCTTGCTAGGTAGTCATCACTGTACTGTTATTGCTACATATATGTCTCTGCATGTGAACTGGCCTTGTGGCCCTTTGCTTGTGCTCAGAGTGTGTGGTGACGTTGAGATCCACCCTGAGCTTGCTTTGCTTTGCTTGACTGGTCTTGTGACCCCTTGTTCTCCCCCACTTTGCCTATGGGGGTGTGTCAAACATTATATATGTTGTAGCTTTGTAGGCTACAGTGGGTTTAGCCTTAGGGGGTACACAATTCTAGGGTTGCATATTTGTACTCCCATTCTTGCTAGTCACATCATTCCGGTTGATTCTCACACCGTCGAGGGAAGTCAACGGTCGTGACCCTTGACGATCCAGTAACCACGCGACAGTTGTTCGCTGCTACATGGTAACTGTCGAGGATAGCAATAGTCGCGGTTACTGTAGCTATGTAATACAGTTAATAAGGGAATGTACCCCTCAGAGTACATGGCTAGTTAGTTTGCTATTTAATCTCCTGTATTCCTATCTTTTAATTATCTTGTTCTCTTTCAACAATTATTCAACAAGGTCACTATAGAGACTTCATTGTCTCCTCTCAGACTTAACAAATCTCATCCTATCTACTTGATCCTTTGGTTATATCAACAGCAATGATTGAGCGGCGTAATGATTGAGCGGCGCAGCGTGTCAAAGTAACTAGGCAAGAATGGATGAACTAGCAGAAGTTTGGGTACAAATATGAAACCCTAGTTGGGGTTGTACCCCATATTGGCTACCCCACTACAGCCTACCAACATATAACACATTACAATTTAACACACCCCCATAGGCAAAGTGGGGGAGAACAAAGGGTCACAAGACCAGTCCAGCAAAGCAACGCAAGCCCAGGGTGGATCACAACGTCACCACGCTCCGAGCACAAGTAAAGGCCACAAGGCCAGTTCACATGCAGTGCTAGATATAGTACAAGACAAACAACACAGTGATCAAAACCTAGCAAGCAAGTAACAAGATATATATAAAGTACAGTACAAAGAATGTCAAGCAGTGAGCAAGTGAGGAAACGTGGACACAAGGCCTAAAGAAGTACAGTGCCGCTGATGATCACTAGGCGGGAGCGCCTTGGTGAAGATATCAGCAGTGTTGGCCTTTGAGTCCACGTACACAAGCCGAAGCTGACCGCGCTGCTGAAGCTCTCGAGCAAGAAAGTAGCGAAGAGCAATGTGCTTCGTCCTGTGCTCCAGTCTGTGCTCCTGACACAAGGCAAGAGCCGCCTTGTTGTCACCGTACAGAACTGGAGGAGAACTAGGCCGCTCTCCCAAGTCAGTCAGCAGGTAGGTGAGCCAGCGTAGCTCCTGTGCAGCCATGGCTGTGGCGTAGATCTCAGCCTCACAACTAGAGCCGAGAACAGAGGAAGAGCGGGTGGACCGCCACGAGACAGAACCAGAGCCAAGGCTGAAGGTGTAACCCTGTGACGACCGCTGCGTAGCCAGGTCGTCCACCCAAGAAGCGTCCGAGTGGCCAGTGAGGACAACTCTGTCGCGTCCTCCAAGCACCAGCCCCATGCCTGATGTACTGCACAAGTAGCGCAGCACCCTCTTAGCAGCCTCCCAGTGCTCTCGCCTGTGTCTCCCAGGCGCGAGGTCAGGTTGCGTGCAAGTCATCAGGTACATGAGGCAGCCCACAAGCTCTGGGTACGGGCCACTCGGCTCTACGGACTCGTCCGGAGGTGGAGCTGAGAGCGAGTGGCTGGTAGCCAGAGGTGTGGCCTGTGGTGAGGAGAACTGGAAGCCGAAGCGCTGAAGGACCTGCTGCACCATGTGTGACTGAGTCAGGGTGATGGTGCGGCGAGCTCTGTCCCGGGTGATCTGCAAGCCAAGGTAGCTACGCAGCTCACCCAGGTCAGTGCAGGTGTGTCTCTTCTGCAGCTCCGACTTCACACGAGCGAGTGCCTCAGTGTCAGCAGTAGCAAAGACCAAGTCGTCGACGTAGACGAGGATGTAGAACGGCGGCAGCGACGTGTCTGTGCGCAGAAACAGCGACGGGTCAGCAGTAGACGGCGCGAACCCAAGAGCCGCAAGTGTAGTCCTCAGTGTGTCGTGCCACTCGCGTGGCGCCTGGCGGAGACCGTAGACTGGCCGGCGGAGGCTCCACTGGGTACCAGGAGGAAACGACCCAGTAAAGCCAGGTGGGCGGCGCAGCCAGATCTCCTCGTGCAGGCTGCCCTGCAGGAACGCTGTGCTGAAGTCAAGAGATTGAAGCTCGTAGTCACGCTGAGCAGCAACGTGCAGCAGAACCCGAAGAGTGGTCATCTTCGGGGTGGGGGAGAAGGTCTGGAAGAAGTCGACCCCCTGACGCTGACTGAAGCCTCTAGCAACGTAACGAGCCTTGAAGACAGGCGGAGAACCTGGCGGCCGCTTCACCCTGAAAATCCACATGCCATCGACGATGTTCGCCCCAGGAGGGGGAACCTCGTCGACGTAGGTGCCTGTGGACTTCCAGGATGCCATCTCTGCGTCCATGGCTGTCTGCCACTGAGAGGAGTAGGGACCCGAGATCGCCTCTGCGTAAGTGCGCGGAGTGGGGATGTCTAGTGCATCCGGGTCTCCCTCAGGGGCAAGCAACCAGGCCACGAGATGAGGTACAGCAGCCGCAAGAGAGTCAAAGTCCTCCTGCCTGTCCTCAAGGACGTCCGTGCCAAGAGCACACTCACCCCCGACGGACGGAGGACAGACAGACGCAGACTCAGGCTCAGCAACAAGGCTGGCAGCGTAGTCTAGACGACAGGCAGCAGCAAAGTCAACCAACTCAGCGACCAGAGCAGACGCAGCAGAGGACTCAAAGGTAGGGTCAGTGACAACAGTAGCTAGGAGACGCGTGACTGTAGGGTGCTCAGCGCGATACCGGTCAGACTCAGGGTCCGGAACGGCAGGCAAAGAGGACGCAGGAGGAGACGGTAGAGGGACACGCTGAGGAGCAGTAGAGGGACGCAGAGTCATGTAGTGAGTGCCTGGGACAGGAGGAGGACGCTCACGACGGACACGAATACCAGCGCGAGCAGGACGAACAGGCGACGCAGGACGAGACTCAGGCTCACGACGCTCTGTAAGACCTCCTGTGGGACCAGTGTAAGGAGAGGGAGCAGGGAGAGGCGAGGTAGGCGGTAACTGTGACTGCGGCTGGACAGGCGGAGGACACTCGACGGAGGGAGGAGGACAAGGAGGAGGAGCCTGCCCAAGAACCTGCTGAAGGAGCGGTACGAAGTACGGTCGCGGCCGCGCAGCGTCTCCAGAAGCAGAAGAGACTCCAGCGGCCGGGTCCTCAGTACCAGCAGGAGCTCCAACGTCCGGGTCCCCAGCACCAGCAGCAGCGCCACCGCTCGGGTCCTCAGCTCCAGCAGCAGCTCCACCAGGCGGGTCCGCAGCACCAGCAGCAGCGCCACCCCCAGAGTCGGCAGCTCCAACTCCGCTAGCACCGCCAGCGCCAGGGTCCCCAGCTCCAGCAGCTCCAGTCGCAGTGCTCCCAGAACAACCAGTCCCGGCAGCTCCAGTACCCCCAGGACGAGCAGCTCCAGCACCCCCAACTCCAGCCGAGCCACGAGGACGGCGGAAGCGCCGGACGTACCAGTCACGAAGCTGCTGCGGTGTGAGAGACTGCTCAGCACCCCGAACCGGAGCACCCCCAGACGCAGCAACCCGAGGCTCCGTAGGCTCAGCAGCAGCACCCCCAGGCTCAGTACCCGCAGGCTCAGCACCCCCAGACTCAGCACCCCCAGACTCCGCACACGCAGGCTCAGCACCCCCAGTCGCAGCACCCCCAGGCTCAGCACCCCCAGGCGGCAAACTCTCAGGCACAGTACCCTCAGCTCCAGTACCCGCAGTCCCAGCACTCCCAGGCCCAGCACTCCCAGCTGTACCACCTGCAGCAGCACCTGAGTCACCTGTGACCTCGACAGGCTCAGCGACGGGAGGAGGGTCTACCTGAGAGACACCTGAAGGAGCAGGACCCTGAGGGGGAAGGGGGTCTACCGGAGGGGGGCCAGGAGCAAGGAAAAGCGGCGGGGGAGGGAGGGGGGCAGTGCGGTAGGGGAAGAGACGGTAAAAAGGGACCGACTCGTCAAAGGTGACATCCTGAGAGGCGAAGACCCGGCGCGAGGTGGGGTGGTAAAACTGCCAGCCAGGCGCGTCAGGGACAAAGCCAAGGAAGACACAGGGAAGCGTGCGGGAGGAGAGCTTGTCCGCGGACGTATCGCGGACAAGGGCATGAGCACCCCACACCCGAAAGCGCGACGCATCGCCAACCTCCCCCGTCCAACGCAGTGTGGGCGAGGTCTCCGGCAAGGAGACATGGGGCCAGAGGTTGAGCTGATGCGCGGCGTACCGAGAAAATGGCCACAGAAAATGGGGAGCCGCCGCGTGGACCAAGGAGGTACGAGCGACCTCCATGACCAGGCCAATGCGGCGCTCAGCAACCCCATTCTGCTGTGGGGAGTCCGGAAGCGTGAAGGTCTGCTCAATGCCCTCCGCCTGACAGAAGGTCCTCAAGAGATCGGAGGAGAACTCACCACCTCTGTCAGAGTGCAGACGCAGGACAGGAAGATCCGTCCGGAAACGGCGGCGGAGCTGGAGACGAACTGTGCGGATCCAAGGGATCAGAACAGCAGGGACCTCACCCTTGGTGCGCAAGGGGAAGACCGTGGTGTAACGCGAGTAGTCGTCGACAACCAGCAAAAAATACCGCTCACCGCCCTGACCACGAACGCGGGCTGGGCCCCACACGTCCAGGTGGAGGGTCTGCAGAGGAGCCTCTGTCGGGGGGAACGAGGAGGAGTGAGGAGCGGCGCGCTGCCGCCCCTCGACACAAGGAAGGCAAGGCGGCGCAGGCGAGGCAGGGAGGGGAGGGAGGGACCTGGGAAGACCAGACACAAGGTGGCGACGGTGCATGCCACGAAGGCGTGGCAAGGAGGGGTGACCCAGGCGGTGGTGCCAGAGAAGAGTCTGGTGCGACAGGGAACGACACTCACAGGCGTGGGCTACCAGACCTGACGCAGACACCTGACCAACAGCAGCGACCTGAGGAGACGCAGTGGTCAGTGTGTAGAGACTCGACCCCGGCCGACGGGTAAACGTAGCCAGGTGACGGCCGGTCCTGGAGCACGTGCAGATCGCCACACGCTGTCCTCCAGGGGTAAAGGTGTCAACCCACTGATCCTGGATGACAGCGTTGCTCACCAGGTTCGTCGAGAACGAGGGGAGGTGGAAACCCGTCAACGAGCCAGACGGAACCGCCGGACAAGGGAGCACAGTGGTGGACTGGGCAAGGACTGGGCCCCCAGAGGGGTCAGCCAAGGAGACTGGGACCGGTGCAGGAAGCGGTGTGAGCTCAGTACTGTCACGAAAGAAACAGCGGGAAGCACCTGAGTCAAGGGTGAAGGTGTGACAGGCCTCAGCCGGTGCGGTACCTGAGAGAGCAGTCTCTGTGGGTGCTGTACCTGAGAGAGCAGACTCGCAAACAGCCGGGACAGCACTGGAGGGAGCAGGTACAGGGGGCACCATACCAGAGAGAGCAGACTCACTAGCACCTAGGGCAGCGGGCTCTATACCTGGGTCAGGCGGCACACACAAGTAACAGTCTCCCTCGGCACTAACAGTCAATGCATACATGGCAGCAATAATAGCATCATAGTCAAGAGCAAAGATATCAACACCAGCCCTCATCAGCTCAGCCCAGCGAGGGCGCTCAACATCCTCGCCCATCTCCTCACGCCAAGCGTCGTCAAGGCGGAAGAAGCAGCGGTACTGAGTGTGGAACTTTCCACACGTCTGCCCCTTGCGATCACCTGTGCGAATGACATAGGAACAGCGGCCACTGCCCCCCGACGTCCCACGCTGAGCAAGCCACTCACGAAGCTGCTGGGTCGACTGGGGACGCTGCTGCTGCTGGGAGCTCTGGCCCGAGCCGGTGCCTCCACTCCGACCTCCACCGCCGCCACTACCTCCGCTCCGACCGCCACCACCGCCACCGCCACCGCCACTACCGCCACCGCCGCCACCGCCGCCGCTGCCACCACCGCCACTGCTCCCGCCGCCGCCCCCGCCTCCACCACCGACCCCACTCCCACCGGCACTCCCGCCACCGCTCCCTCCAGCACCGCCTCCCCCCCCACCTCCCCCACCCCCTCCCCCCCCAGCGCCACCCCCGCCACCCTTGCCCCCCTTGCCCTTGCCGGTGCGGCGCCTCCCACCAGGAGCAGAAGCAGCGCCAGCAGACTCAGCACCAAGGAAGTCAACAGCAGCAGCAGTAGCATAGGAGGGAGCGAGGGGAGAGGGAGAGCACCCCTCAAAGATGGGGGTGCGAGGAGCGCCGCGAGCAGCACCAACAGCCACAATGCTCTTCTCGGCTGCTAGCAGCTTCTCCTCTAGGAGGGCGACAGTGAGCTCAGTGGAACAGCGTGCAAGGAAATAGTCGCGCACTGAGCTGAGGGTGTCAGGGAGACGGGTGACTATGAAGTGGAGTGTCCAGTACAGGGGAGGGGGGTTCTTAGCGCAGAACTCGGTGGGAAGGGCGGCACGCAGGCGAGCATCACTAGTGCGAAGGTGGGTGATAAGATCGGCGACTGTAGCAAAGGTGGACAGGTCAGGGAACAGGTAAGGCAGCATGAGACGGCTAAGCTCGGCTGTGGCAGGTGAGGAGTAGCGAGCAACGACAGCGTCATATAGGGCCTTAGCGGATTTGCAGTCGCCAAAGTGCTCTAGCTCAGCTAACGGCAGGTGACTGCGAATAGCCAGGCGAGCTGCAGCGTCACGAGTCTGCCACTGTGAACGTACACTAAGCTCGGCTGTGGCAGCAGGAGCAGCGGCAGCACCAGACGCGTAGTCATAGAGGGAGATGTGGTCCGTGCTATTGCTCATAAGATACAACTGCAGGTCATCGAGCCAGGAAGTGAACTGCACGGGACGGCCCTCAGCATCGAAGGAAAGAACGCGAATAGAGGCCATAGCTCAGGCGTGAGGGCACAGCAGAGCAGCGGCAGCAGCAGAGGGGACGCGCTAGAGCGAAGCTAGCAGCCACAGCAGGAGCAAGCGGCGGTGCACAGTCAGGGAGCAGCAGGCGAGGCGGGCGGCGCTGCAGGCGGGAATTGCGGCGGGCGGGCTGCGAAGCGGGCAGCGGGGCGGGCGGGCGACGCGGCGAGCGGGCAGCGCGGCGGGCGGCTGCGAAGCGGGCAGCGGGCGGGCGGGCGACGCTGCAAGCGGGCAGCGGGCGGGCGGGCGACGCCACGAAGCAGGTAGCGGGCGGGCGGGCGGCGCTGCGAGCGGGCAGCGAAGCGGGCGGGCCGCGAAGCGGGCAGCGAGCGGGCGGGCGGGCCGCGAAGCGGGCAGCGGGGCGAGCGGGCTGCGAAGCGGGCGGGCCGCGAAGCGAGCAGCGAGCGGGCGGGCGGGCCGCGAAGCGGGCAGCGGGGCGAGCGGGCTGCGAAGCGGGCAGCGGGGCGAGCGGGCGACGCTGCGAGCAGGCAGCGCGGCGGGCGGGCGACTCTGCGAGGGGCGCGCGAGGGCGCTAGCGAGGGGCGCGCGAGGGCGCTAGCAAGGGGCGCGCGAGGGCGCTAACGAGGGGCGCGCGAGGGCGCTAACGAGGGTGCGCGAGGGCGCTAACGAGGGGCGCGCGAGGGCGCTAACGAGGGCGCACGAGGGCGCTACGAGGCTAGGGCACGGGGTAGCGTGGTAACCGCATGCGAGCGGTGGTGGGCCCTTAAAAAAAAACGGTCGGTAGGTCCTAGGGACCTCCTGCTCTGAATACCATGTCAAAGTAACTAGGCAAGAATGGATGAACTAGCAGAAGTTTGGGTACAAATTTTTAAACTGTATTATGCTTGTAGGCTGTAGTGGGGTAGCCAATATGGGGTACAACCCCAACTAGGGTTTCATATTTGTACCCAAACTTCTGCTAGTTCATTCATTCTTGCCTAGTTATTGTGACATGGTATTCAGAGCAGGAGGTCCCTAGGACCTACCGACCGTTTTTTTTTTTTTTTTAAGGGCCCACCACCGCTCGCATGCGGTTACCACGCTACCCCGTGCCCTAGCCTCGTAGCGCCCTCGTGCGCCCTCGTTAGCGCCCTCGCGCGCCCCTCGTTAGCGCCCTCGCGCGCACCCTCGTTAGCGCCCTCGCGCGCCCCTCGTTAGCGCCCTCGTGCGCCCCTTGCTAGCGCCCTCGCGCGCCCCTCACTAGCGCCCTCGCGCGCCCCTTGCAGTGTCGCCCGCCCGCCGAGCCGCCCGCTCGCTGCCCGCTTCGCGGCCCGCCCGCTTCGCAGCCCGCTCGCCCTGTTGCCCGCTTCGCAGCCCGCTCGCCCGCTCGCTGCCCGCTTCGCGGCCCGCCCGCTTCGCAGCCCGCCCGCCCGCTCGCTGCCCGCTTCGCGGCCCGCCCGCTTCGCAGCCCGCTCGCCCCGCTGCCCGCTTCGCAGCCCGCCCGCCCGCTCGCTGCCCGCTTCGCGGCCCGCCCGCTTCGCAGCCCGCTCGCTCGCTGCCCGCTTCGCGGCCCGCCCGCTTCGCAGCCCGCCCGCCCGCTCGCTGCCCGCTTCGCGGCCCGCCCGCTTCGCAGCCCGCTCGCCCCGCTGCCCGCTTCGCAGCCCGCCCGCCCGCTCGCTGCCCGCTTCGCGGCCCGCCCGCTTCGCTGCCCGCTCGCAGCGCCGCCCGCCCGCCCGCTACCTGCTTCGCAGCGTCGCCCGCCCGCTTGCTGCCCGCTCGCAGTGTCGCCCGCTCGCCCGCTGCCCGCTTCGCAGCGTCGCCCGCTCACTTGCAGCCCGCCCGCCGCACTTCCCTGCCTGTGCACCGCCGCTTGCTCCTGCTGTGGCTGCTAGCTTCGCTCTAGCGCGTCCCCTCTGCTGCTGCCGCTGCTCTGCTGTGCCCTCACGCCTGAGCTATGGCCTCTATTCGCGTTCTTTCCTTCGATGCTGAGGGCCGTCCCGTGCAGTTCACTTCCTGGCTCGACGACCTGCAGTTGTATCTTATGAGCAATAGCACGGACCACATCTCCCTCTATGACTATGCGTCTGGTGCTGCCGCTGCTCCTGCTGCCACAGCCGAGCTTAGTGTTCGTTCCCACTGGCAGACTCGTGACGCAGCTGCTCGCCTAGCCATTCACAGTCACCTGCCGCTAGCTGAGCTCGAGCATTTTGGCGACTGCAAATCCGCTAAGGCCCTGTACGATGCTGTCGTTGCTCGCTACTCCTCGCCTGCCACAGCCGAGCTTAGCCGCCTCATGCTGCCGTACCTGTTCCCCGATCTGTCCACCTTTGCTACAGTCGCCGATCTTATCACCCACCTTCGCACTAGTGATGCTCGCCTGCGTGCCGCCCTTCCCACCGAGTTCTGCGCTAAGAACCCCCCTCCACTGTACTGGACACTCCACTTCATAGTCACCCGTCTCCCTGACACCCTCAGCTCAGTTCGAGACCACTTCCTTGCTCGCTGTCCCACTGAGCTCACAGTCACCCTCCTAGAGGAGCAGCTGCTCGCGGCCGAAAAGAGCATTGTAGCTGTCGGTGCTGCTCGTGGCGCTCCTCGCACCCCCATCTTTGAGGGGTGTTCTCCCTCTCCCCTCGCTCCCTCCTACGCTGCTGCTGCTGCTGCTGTTGACTTCCTTGGTGCTGAGTCTGTTGGCGCTGCTTCTGCTCCTGGTGGGAGGCGCCGCACCGGCAAGGGCAAGGGGGGCAAGGGTGGTGGTGGTGGCGCTGGGGGGGGAGGAGGTGGGGGAGGTGGGGGGGGAGGCGGTGCTGGAGGGAGCGGTGGCGGGAGCGCTGGTGGGAGTGGGGTCGGTGGTGGAGGCGGGGGCGGCGGAGGAAGCAGTGGCAGTAGTGGCGGCGGCGGCGGTGGTGGCGGCGGTGGCGGTGGTGGCGGTGGTGGCGGTGGCGGTCGTAGCGGTGGTAGTGGTGGCGGCGGAGGTCGGAGTGGAGGCACTGGCTCGGGCCAGAGCTCCCAGCAGCAGCAGCGTCCCCAGACGACCCAGCAGCTTCGTGAGTGGCTTGCTCAGCGTGGGACGTCGGGGGGCAGTGGCCGCTGTTCTTATGTCATTCGCACAGGTGACCGCAAGGGACAGACGTGTGGGAGGTTCCACACCCCGTACCGCTGCTTCTCCCGCCTTGACGACGCTTGGCGTGAGGAGATGGGTGCGGATGTTGAGCGCCCCCGCTGGGCTGAGCTCATGAGGGCTGGTGTTGATGTCTTTGCTCTTGACTTTGATGCTATTATTGCTGCCATGTATGCATTGACTGTTAGTGCCGAGGGAGACTGTTACTTGTGTGTGCCGCCTGACCCAGGTATAGAGCCCGCTGCCCTGGGTACTAGTGAGTCTGCTCTCTCTGGTATGGTGCCCCCTGTACTTGCTCCCTCCAGTGCTGTCCCGGCTGTTTTCGAGTCTGCTCTCTCAGGTACAGCACCCACAGAGACTGCTCTCTCAGGTACCGCACCGGCTGAGGCCTGTCACACCTTCACCCTTGACTCAGGTGCTTCCCGTTGCTTCTTTCGTGACAGTACTGAGCTCACACCGCTTCCTGCACCGGTCCCAGTCTCCTTGGCTGACCCCTCTGGGGGCCCAGTCCTTGCCCAGTCCACCACTGTCCTCCCTTGTCCGGCGGCTCCGTCTGGCTCGTTGTCGGGTTTCCACCTCCCCTCGTTCTCGACGAACCTGGTGAGCAACGCTGTCCTCCAGGATCAGTGGGTTGACACCTTTACCCCTGGAGGACAGCGTGTGGCGATCTGCACGTGCTCCAGGACCGGCCGTCACCTGGCTACGTTTACCCGTCGGCCGGGGTCGAGTCTCTACACACTGACCACTGCGTCTCCTCAGGTCGCTGCTGTTGGTCAGGTGTCTGCGTCAGGTCTGGTAGCCCACGCCTGTGAGTGTCGTTCCCTGTCGCACCAGACTCTTCTCTGGCACCACCGCCTGGGTCACCCCTCCTTGCCACGCCTTCGTGGCATGCACCGTCGCCACCTTGTGTCTGGTCTTCCCAGGTCCCTCCCTCCCCTCCCTGCCTCTCCTGCGCCGCCTTGCCTTCCTTGCGTCGAGGGGCGGCAGCGCGCCGCTCCTCACTCCTCCTCGTTCCCCCCGACAGAGGCTCCTCTGCAGACCCTCCACCTGGACGTGTGGGGCCCAGCCCGCGTTCGTGGTCAGGGCGGTGAGCGGTACTTTTTGCTGGTTGTCGACGACTACTCGCGTTACACCACGGTCTTCCCTTTGCGCACCAAGGGTGAGGTCCCTGCTGTTCTGATCCCTTGGATCCGCACAGTTCGTCTCCAGCTCCGCCGCCGTTTCCGGACGGATCTTCCTGTCCTGCGTCTGCACTCTGACAGAGGTGGTGAGTTCTCCTCCGATCTCTTGAGGACCTTCTGTCAGGCGGAGGGCATCGAGCAGACCTTCACGCTTCCGGACTCCCCACAGCAGAATGGGGTTGCTGAGCGCCGCATTGGTCTGGTCATGGAGGTCGCTCGTACCTCCTTGGTCCACGCGGCGGCTCCCCATTTTCTGTGGCCGTTTGCTGTCCGGTACGCCGCGCATCAGCTCAACCTCTGGCCCCGTGTCTCCTTGCCGGAGACCTCGCCCACACTGCGTTGGATGGGGGAGGTTGGCGATGCGTCGCGCTTCCGGGTGTGGGGTGCTCGTGCCCTTGTCCGCGATACGTCCGCGGACAAGCTCTCCTCCCGCACGCTTCCCTGTGTCTTCCTTGGCTTTGTCCCTGACGCGCCTGGCTGGCAGTTTTACCACCCCACCTCGCGCCGGGTCTTCGCCTCTCAGGATGTCACCTTTGACGAGTCGGTCCCTTTTTACCGTCTCTTCCCCTACCGCACTGCCCCCCTCCCTCCCCCGCCGCTTTTCCTTGCTCCTGGTCCCCCTCCGGTAGACCCCCTTCCCCCTCAGGGTCCTGCTCCTTCAGGTGTCTCTCAGGTAGACCCTCCTCCCGTCGCTGAGCCTGTCGAGGTCACAGGTGACTCAGGTGCTGCTGCAG